AAAAAAAAAAAAAAAAAGACATTTCCTGACCACAATTTAAGTATACTTATTAATATGCTCTAGATCTTTGCATATTTTCAGGCCCTCTAACTCTACCTCTGGAAAATAACCTTGAATATAGTTCTGAGAGGAATGTAAGCCTTATGATTATTAATGATGATAATTAGAAAATCTAAATGGAGCCAGGCTCACACCTGTAATCAATCCTAGCACTACTCTGGGGGGCCAAGGTGGGCAGCTTGTCTGAGCTCAGGAGTTCAAAACCAGCCTGAGCAATAGGAAAACCCCGTCTTTACGAAAAACAGAAAATTAGTCCCAGCTACTTGGGAGGCTGAGGCAAGAGGACCACTTGAGTTCAAGGATTTGAGGTTGCTGTGAGCTATGAGGTCATGGTACTCCACACAGGGTAACAGAGTAAGATTTTGTCTCCAAAAAAAACAAAGAATCTAAATTTAAAACACTTGAGATTAGTTCAATAATTTAAGATATTTGCATATTGATCATTGTACTGCCACTAAAAAATATACAATAGGAGAATATTTTAAAGCATATGATGCAGTTTACATGGTAGAATTGTAGGTAGCTTTTCTTTATTTACTCTTTGTCCAATTTTCCAGATTTTCAGCCCTGAACATAAATGACATTGATACCGTGCTCATTATATGAGCATTTTTGGTTATACTAAGTTTAAATACCATGTGTTTCAAAAACATTTCAATGTTTTATTATAAACATCAAGTAGGTACATACGATGGACGGCCTTCACTGTCTAAATAGATATTTAATGATGATCTATTGCTAGACAGAAGCATATTTATTCCATTAACACTTTTTCCTTCGAGCTATATCTACATCTGATATTTAACATCCATGTAGAAAGGAATTTTTTTAAGTTATATTTCTAAGACATATCTTGTGGCTGATGTCACTGTTGATGTTGGCTTGAGAATATGCCGACAAAATGTAGTAAATTCATTTCCAGGCAAATATCCTGTGTGGAAGGATTGCTCCAGGAGAAATGTAGTTAGCATAAGGGTTTGTATTCCTTGTTCCCAAGTAAGTCTTTGAGGTTTGAAGAGAACTGGCACTTTATAAAAGAAACATAGATTCTGGCACACATTCTTACACATGCTTCTGAGATTTCGGAAAGAGACCACCCGAAGTTTTTACTTGACTAAGTGGTTTGAACATTTATATTTTCCTACTCAAATTCCTTACATATTGGAAAGTCATATTCTCCCACTTATCTAATTAATCACTTGGATTTCTTTCATTGAAACAAACCAAACTCTGGTCTGGTTTTGGTTTATTATCCAGTCAATCCTTTCAATTTCTCAGTCTGATTTCTACATCAATTATTCCAACCGTTAACTAAAGCATAGAAGGCTTCTGTACGGATTTGCACTGGAGGAAAATCTCAAACAATGATGCACATGTCTATTATTATACCTGGGTAATGAGAGCGTTTACTAAATTTGTAAGCCGCTCAATTACAATCACAGTTGTTTTTTTTTTTTTTAATTGTAAGCTAGAACTCCAGTATTACCAATTTAAATTGAAACTGTATTTCCTAACTTTGTATTTTCCTCTTTATAAGTTACAGGACATTTGAAAGCATTTGACCTGATTTTTCAGGTCTCCTGTAATTTTCTACTCAAATGGTATAATTTCTCCTAAACCTCAGTTTTTTGTTTTTTAAGGAGTATAGAAGGAAGAACACTAATCTGGAAGTTAGGAGATCTAATTACATTTTTCAGTCTTGCCACCATGCAATCATTGATAGGTCATTTTATATATACTTGTTTTTGAGAGGTTTTATATGTTTTTATATAGACATATATAATTAATGTGCATATAAAAAGCCTTTAATGTCTCTTTCTGACCTATATATTCAAGTACCCAGAGTAAAGTACATTTCTCGTATTTTATTGAAAATTATATGATTATAAAACTATAAATGTATATATTAGATAATATATATTACACATATACTGTAGAGCCTCCATAGTTGACCACCTCCCTACACTGGCCACCTCCATAAGTTGACCTAATTTTCATAGGCCAGACAATAGACCACATGTACTCAATGGAAGTTCCTTATGTTGACCATCTCCATATGTTGACCAGTTTGTTACAGTCCTTTGGATGATTCTACTATGTATTTATATCAGATGCAATTTATCAGAAAATGTTAATTGAGAGAAAATAGTGACCCTTTCAAATAGTGACTGTCAATTAGCAAAGAAATCATACTCTTATGAACAGAGTAGTGATATTTGTAGATACAATGTGAATATAATTTTGGACTCATACCCTCTTCAAGGATTCACTGATATGAATAACTGAAAATATTTTGAAATAAAGGGCTAATTAGAAATAATGGAAAAGTCTTAAAAATGGCGTGTGAGAACCCGGTCCTTTATAAACTGCTAAAATGTCTGGCTTGAAATGTGCTTTCACTTCAATTTGAACTGAGACAGGAGAATAATTAGGTGTTTCAGACAGCTGATAAGAGGTGAATTTGTGCAGTGTAAACAATAGGTAGAAAGTCTTAAATTCAGTGTACATTTTTCCAAGCTCAAGTCTTAGCCAAAAAACAAGCATCTTCTTTTCTGTGAGGGGCTCCATCAGCACACCTAATGTTTTCAGCTGCCATCGCCCTCAATGTAACGGCACAGTTTTCTGACACTCTATTTACTGCTGGGTGGAATGGCCATTTAGGGCTATATAAATCAAACAGTTTGGACAAAGCTGGCAGTATTTAGAATGGCAGGGTGAGCAGATGTTTCAAATTTGCCCTCATTTCCATCTATAGTCTGTTTGATCGTGCCCTTGCCTATGTAAATGAGGAAGCCAGTTGACTCTCCACTATTGCTTCAAATTCGTTTATATTCAATTAATTGGACTTAAGATTTTAAATAGTTATAATTTGCATGGTAGCATTTCAGGAGCTTTTCAGTTAAAGTAATTTTATGGAGGTCCTTGTGTGTATGATTCAAGTTCATTCACCTTTAAGCAGATCTAAATGAGAAAAAAAATAATTTATTCATACAAATTGCTGGTATACTTTGAACATCACAGGTCAAATTGTAGTTCAAAAATTCTATTTAACATGAAGGTTAATCTTAGAAGGTCAAGTAGTAAAATAACCTCTTCACAAAACAACTCTATTTCATTCTATAAATATTTACTTAACAATTTAGTGTCAAATTAAGGATGAGTATTGGTACATTATTACTGTTGTAGAGAACGTGTATAAAATAGGGACAAGTAGTTAGAATATCAGGAAATTATCTCAATTAGGACGATAACCATATGCTTGTGATTCAGTCTGATTTGTTTCGTCTCCTTTAGAACCTCCACATTTTGTTGTGAAACCCCGTGACCAAGTCGTTGCCTTGGGACGAACTGTAACTTTTCAATGTGAAGCAACTGGGAACCCACAACCAGCAATTTTTTGGAGGAGAGAGGGAAGTCAGGTACAACCTTTTCCTAATCTTTTAATCAGCCAAGGTAGGTACCAGATAGAAGAAAAATCAATCTGGTACTTATAGCTGTCTCCTTAAAACATAAAAATCTCTTCAGAGCCTTAGAAAATTTCAGCAATGCAACGGAAGACAAAGTCATCTTCATTGTTTTATTTGTCAGAGAAATTTTCTCTAGCTAGTTTTGGTATATGGGGAGGTGTATAGAACTATCCTTGTTTTACTCTATAAATTCTACCTTTATTTTTAATTCTGCCACAGTTCAATTAATTATCAGCTCTATGATTCAAATATCTAGAATTATATATTAAAAGAGGTGTACATATGTTTAAAACAGAGATGATAATTATTTAGTGTGATTTCTCTGAAAGCCTCAGGAGACTAACGTATAAGCAAAGAGCCTTCTGACTCACTAAACTGTAGACAGAAATTCTGTCTAACATACATGTCATGTTAAATACAGTTCAGTATATTCCAAGTATTTGAAAACTATCATATATGATCACCATTCACTGTCACATCCTACACTCTAAGCATATTATAAACCAGAATTGTCTAAATACAGAGAAACTAGAATCTAAAGATTTATATCCTTTTAGTTGCTATATTCACTATTGGACTTCAGTTTAATAAATAGGAAATCTTAAAATAGTCTAAAGTGCATTTTTATCTCTTCTCTTAATGACTTACTTTCTTTAATACAACAAATTATTTCACTTGATTCTAATATTTGTAGAAAATGATTCCAATTGATGTTTAATACATTGATTTCTGGCCTCTCTTATTTTTATTTAAGTCAGTGTTAGGTATTTTATTTGTTTCATGGTCTTAGTTTTAGTATGCTTTCATGAATAACAAACAAGTAGTTAACTGACTGCACTCAATTATCTTTCAGAGGCAAAGCCATCAATTCACTTTTTCATTTCAAGGTGTTAATGGGGCCCATGTTTTGGTCCCATGGATTGCCTTTGCAATGCGTGAGTCAGGGCTGTACGTGTGCTGCGGGTTTCACGTTTGTAGCCAGATATTCACTTGGTTTGGGGAGATAAGCCCTCATTTGTCCTCCAGTATCTTGGTGGATTCTAACACATTCCATTTGGCTTCAAAGACTTACATTTACTGAAAGCAAGTTAAAGACAAGAAAATATATTATAATTGAGCAGAAGTACGTATTTCATTGTATGTATATAATGTAAAAAACTACATACCAATAATAGTAATTCCACTGTAAGTTCCACTTAATTGTTTAGATGATTCATAAAAATTATTCAAACCAATTTATAGCTTTCTTAAACCAGCTTATGAAAGCTATAACCCAATTATAGCCCAAGAAGAAGGGGAAAGGGAGAAGGAGGGGAGGGGAGGAGGGAGGATGGGTCGAGGGAGGGTAATTTGTGGGACCACATCTCTGGTGCATCTTACAAGGGTACACGTGAAATTTACTAGATGCAGAATATAAATGTCTTAACACAATAACTAAGAAAACACCGTGAAGTCTTTGTTGACCAATTTGATGAAAGCATTTGAGATTGTGTGTAAAACTAGCACATTGTACCCCATGATTGCATTAATGTACATAACTATGATTTAATTAAAAAAAAGAAGAAAAGAAAAAAATTATTCAAACTTTGTACACCATGATTGCATTAATATACACAGCTATGATTTAATGAAAAAAAGAAGAAAAGAAAAAAATTATTCAAACTTTGTACCCCATGATTGCATTAATGTACACAGCTATGATTTAATAAAATCAAAAGAAAAGAAAAAAATTATTCAAACTTTAGGTTACATTTTTAAATAATTTTGGTTTGAATTAACAAATGCATCTTATTATTTTCTTAAAATTTTGTCATTGGGTCATATACCTAGAAAAGTAGTTAAACTTTTGTAAAGTGGTATATGTTATAAGGCACCAAAACTTTTCCTAAAAAGCAACTTTGTTTGGGTGAGAAAACATTTGAAATTATTTGTTTCATGAAATTCAGTGACATGATATGTTATTTTGTGTGAAATATACACTTCCTCTTAGAAGCGTGGTCTTTTGATTAAATTCAGTATATTAATTTTTATAATTTCATAACAGATATTCTTACCATTTAGCAGAAGAAATAAGGCAAGGAAATGTTAGATGTTTGGTATAGAGTAGTGAATATTATACCGTAATGACGGACAGAGATGCTTGTTTACGTGCCCAAATGGTATCCTTGAATTTAATATGTCAGAATTTTTTTAATTTATTTCTATATGAAAATTTTTAGTATTGATAATTGTGATAGTCATATATATGTGAAGAAATGCTTTTTTTTGTTTTGATAAATATGTAAAACTTCTACTCTGATGAGGTTTAATATCCTTATATATTTAGTATTGTTTGAAAACTGATGGTTATAAAAATACAGATCAAATTATTTACATTTTTACATGGCCATTTTATACTATATTATGAAATCCCATGTGCATATGTATATATGTAGATATTAAGGAACATACATATCTATATGTGTGGATATAAGATGAAAGAATATTTAGCTTGTGTGTGTACATACATAGATGTACATATATGTACATACACTTTTTTCATACATCTCTCTGTATATAATATATATTTCTATATGTGAAAATACTGTATCATTGCAATTAACCTATTTTGTCCCGCCCCCCTCTTGGTTTCTAGAACCTGCTTTTCTCCTATCAGCCTCCGCAGTCGTCTAGTCGGTTTTCAGTCTCCCAGACTGGGGACCTCACTATCACTAACGTCCAGCGGTCTGATGTTGGTTATTACATCTGCCAGACCTTAAATGTGGCTGGAAGTATCATCACAAAAGCATATTTGGAAGTTACAGATGGTAAAGTAAAGCATTTTATTTTAAAATGTACACGTTTGGCTTAGGATCTAAAAAGAGGGCCAGTGGATGTAATTATTTGCAACTTTACAGGTTTTCTTACAGGTACTTTGATGTAAAAGCAAAGGTAAATACAATAAGAAGTTCAAAATTATTCTTACTTTAACCTCAATGTACTGCAAATTTCTAGCATCACATCAGATTCAGAAAAGCATAATAATTATCCAAACAGAAGTTTATCCTAGATAGCCATACCTAGGAATATTTACAGGTTTTAGAAAACTAAAAATGATTTTGCATTCTTTAAGTATAAATTATCTACTCCTCTCCAGCTTCTAAATTAAGGGGACAAGATGAATTGGTTATAAATCCAAAGTCTAACGACTCAGAACGGGCAATAATGAGTGCATTTTCTTCTTTTATTCTATCAACTCCTCTAAACATGATCAATTAACATCAAACATATGATAAAGTTATGGTGATAGAGAAAATCTCCTATCCATAAGATGGACAGTAATGATAATTTGAGAAGATGGCAGAAAAGAAAGATTTTATTTAAAAATGTAAATATATGAAATACATGCATATTTTTCTTTATTGAATATATGTAGATATAATAGATACAGCGTGTCCATAAAGTTCATGTGCAATTTTAAATAGTTGACTGGTTTGAATTGCACACGAACTTTATGGACATCCTGTATGTAAGGTATATTGGATGCACAAATGTTACCCAGAAAGTATCACCAAAAAATGCTTCCAAATTAAAAATAAAACTAAAAACATACATAATAGTGGTAAGGGGCTTGGTGTTTCAAAAACCAAATTCATTGGAGCAATCAGAATTATGTTTTTACTTTCAATTCCAAAAAGTAGGTGGAATTGATAATAAATAATAAAGCAGGTGGAATCCAAACGTAACATCCCCTCTCAAGGAGGAAAAATTGAATAGGAATAAAAGAAGAGAAGCAGGATTTTTTCCTAAACTCAGATAATGACGTAGCCTTTCAGTGGAATAGCCGTCGCTTCTTTAATTAGAAACTGTGACGTCATCTTTCAGTCCTCATTTTCCCTTATCTCTGTATCTATTTAATAACCTTGGAATCCATCCCGTTGTCTTTATCCCATTTTCGACCCCCAGTTCTCATCATCTATAATCTGAAACTGTAATCATCTGCTGATTCCATCCTGTTTATCTTCATCCCAAATTACAGCTTCTTGTTGTTGTGATTTTTTCCCCAAATCCCTCTTGTCTTCCAAACCCTTCACACTGACATACTGTAAAGCAAACAGAGGAAACTAACACAACTTCATAAATGTACTTATGTGATGACCACTCAAATAAAGAGAGGGGACATTTCCAGGATCATAGAAGGCTTCTGTTCACTCTTTCCTAGTTGACATGCCTTTCGTTTTTTTTTTTTTTTTTTTTTTTTTTGAGACAGAGTCTAACTATGTCACCCTCGGTAGACTGCTATGGCGTCACAGCTCACCACAACCTCAAACTTTTGGGCTTAAGTGATTCTCTTGCCTTAGCCTCCCGAGCAGCTGAGACTACAGGCACCTGTCACAATGCTTGGCTATTTTTTTGGTGGCAGTTTTCATTGTTATTTAGCAGGCCCAGGCCGGGCTCAAATCCGCCAGCCTCGGTGTATGTGCCTGGCACCCTGCTCACTGAGCTATAGGCGCCAAGCCTGATATGCCTTTTGGTCACAGAGATGATCATTGACTTTGGTCATCATTGATTAGTTTTGCCTGTTTTTGAAATTCAGCGAAATGTTATTATACAGTAGATAATCTTGTGTGTATGGCAAGTTTGGTTCAAAACAGTGTCTATAAAATTCATGTTTGCATCAGTTAGTTCATTCTTTTTTATTTCTATGTAGTATTTTATTGCGTAAGTACATAGTAGAACACTATTCATGCAATCTCCCATTAATGGTTTGTTTTCAGTTTAGAAGTTTTATTAGTAAAGCTAAATAATTCTGTACCTATCTGTTAGTGGGCACACGACCTCGATTTAAACAGACAGATATACTAACTTGTTTTCTTTTTATTTTCTCACGCACTTGAGGTACAAGGCTATGTATTGTAAATGTTTCTTCCCAGGCATTCTGTTGATGATGATTTTAAGGGTTAAGTAATTAATTTTAATGATGACCAATGTATTATTTTCCTTTTATGGTTTGTTCTTTTAGTGTCCTGTCCTACCTTGGGGCCGTGAAGATGTTCTCCTGTTTTATTCTAGAATCTTTATTATTTATACCTTTGAGATTTATGTTTTTGATTCATCTTGAATTAATTTTGGTGTATGGTGTGAGTTGGGGATCAACATTCTTTTTATTTCCCCTCTATAGAAATTAATTGTAGCAACATTTATCGAAAAGACTGTCCCTTCCCGCTCTGAATTGCAGTGGCGTTTAATTACAACTCAAGTGACTACAGATGTGTGGGCCTAGTTCTGGTCTTTCTAGGCTATTTCAGCGATCTATTTCTGCCAGTACATATTGTGTTCATTATTGTATCTTTATGTAATAGTAAGTCTTAGAAACTGGTAGTGTAAATCTCCAACTTTGTTTTTCTTATTTTGGATATGCTACCAAAGAGCCTTTGAATCTCCTTATGACTTTTAAAATAAACTTGTCAAAATTTCATACACATGAATACCTACCCTTAAACAAAGAAAAATATTTGAGATTCAAATTTTAATTTTATTAAAATTATTGAATAATTTAAGGCGAATTAACAACTAAACAATCTGAGTTTTTCAATTCAAAAAAATAGTCTAAGTCTCTTATTTATTTAGGTATTTAAATCCTCTCGACATTCTTTTCTTTTCAGGGTAGAAGTCTTCCATATATATTGGTAGATTTATATCCAATGTATTTCATGATTTTTGATGTGACTGTGATATTTTAAATTTTATTATTGAATTATATAAGGCAAGTGCCTAATTGTACAGTCTACTTTTATGTGTTAACCTTCTGTCCAGCCACTTTGCTAAATCCACTCTTTTTTTTTTTTTTCAGGGGGAGGGTACAGAATCTCAAGCTGTCACCCTGAATAGAGTGCCATGGTGTGATAGCTTGTAGCAGCCGTCAACTCAGGCTCGAGTGATCCTCTTGCCTCAGTTTTTCTATTTTTAGTAGAGACCGGGTCTCACTTTTTTGCTCAGGCTGGTCTTAAACTCATGAGTTCAAGCAGTCCACCACCCTCAGCCTCCCAGAGTGCTGGGATTACAGGTGTGAGCCACTGCACCCGGCCCCACTCATTATTTTTCATAGTTCATAGGTCGCTTATTTGAAGTATTAGGTACAAAATGTTTCAATTATTTAAAAAAGGTGGCTTTACTTCTTCCTCCCTTTATTTGTTTTACCTGTTCTGCGGAGTCTTTGACCCCTGATATAATGAGTAGAAGTGGTGAGAGTGGATCTATTTTTTCTTGATTCTGAGTTCAGAGGGAAAACATTTCATATTTCATCTCCAAGTATGATGTTTTGACTAGTTTTCCTTGTTCGTTCTTCCTTACTCCCCTTTAATTAACAATTAGACTTCAAACCTAGTGAGGGTCTCATTGCGTACTTTTTTCTCAAACTTATATGATGTCAGGTTTTTTTATAGATAGTTTTGAATTTCAAGAAATTCTGGAGGAATCTTTAAAACGTTAATTTTATTATGGGGTTTCTCAGGGTTCTCAGATAAAGTTTGTGTTTCTTAATGTGCTTTACAATTTCATAATCTGACCCCCTCCACGCTCCGCTCAGAACACAGCGTTGCTCACACGTCCTCAGTGTAGAGAACAGTCTGCTTGTCGTGTTTCCCTTTGTCTTAAGACTTCTGCACAAGCTGTTTCCACTAACTTGAAATGTTATTTCCTTTAAAAAGCTTTCTCTAATTCTTCAAATACAGGTCCTCTCCCCCATCTCCGCCTTGTCATAATAGATTGTATCCTATGCTTCTTTGCCTTCTGTTTGTTTGCTGGTGTTCTTCATGAGATATTAAGTTGCATGACAGCAGGATCTGTGTCTGTCTAGTCAGATTAAAGATACACCCAGTCTCCAGCCAGGGCCAGACATGGGCTAAATGCTTAATATGTTGAATTTGTGAATGAGAAGATGAAACAGACAAGGAAGGAAAGAGCAACTACCTCTTGGTTAAGTGAGAATTCAACATTAGAATCCCTAGAATCGTCTCACTCAAAAGCTCAGACTCTTACTCCTGTCTGTGATACATACACGTGCTGACTCTAAAAAGCTAGAGTGACCTAACATGTTTCTACAGTGTCGTAACTGCATCACAGCTATTGAATCACGATTATGAACTCCATAGTGTCTTAACTACATTACAGCTATTGAATCATGATTATGAACTCCATTTAAGTAGTTTGATAATGATTGCTATAACCAAGATGTATAAAAAGTATAGAATTTCACATACATTTATAATTGAATCTTTGTAAAGCGACTTGTCTACAGGTATGTATGAGAAAAGACACAAAAAATCTACTCTAAACTATTCCCGAGTGTCTCATATTCTTTACAGGCATGATTATAATTGAAAGCACAGATTTCTGTGTGTCCCCTGACAGGTCCTGATGGTGAATTGCTTTATTTGTGAGACTAGAGCATACATAGGACTTGTACTAAACTTTTAAAGAAAAAACCCTGAACTGGTGAATTTGGAATTCATTCCTAGAAGCCAGTTCACTCCCGACACCAACTGTCTTGTTTCACTCTACCATTTCTGGGGAGATTCAAGGTAGTTTTGTGTTTGCCCCTTTGGTGCTACTCTGGAAGTTGTGTTTTCTTTATCGTAGAGTTCGTTGATTTTATGCAAACAACTTAAAACTGTAGAATTATTCTTTTTAGGTAAAACTATAATTATTCTGATTTCTGGCAATGTCAATGTTTATATATTACTAAGTCAGGTCAAGAGGATGGCTGGGAGGCAGAGTACTCTCTAGATGCAATTTGACTTTAGCTTCTTGACTTTTATTGTTTACAAACAGAAAAAAGGCAAACTCAGGATAAAACATGGGGCACAGAAGTCGTAGCTGGCTGTGAAATGGCGCTTCTCTGTAGATGTGACCTGTCACTAATCACATTTAACTTAGCAACATACAATACATGTCTCCTGTTTAATTGAAAATCCCTTCATTATTAAGATGTAAAAAGAGGAATTGAATGATTATCACGTGGTGTGTAAAATTTAAAATCACTTGTATTCATCTCATAAAAGTTACAGCTATATAGTGCGGAGTGTGTAATCTTATATTTAGGAAAGTAAGATTTGCCAGTTACTAAATATTTGATTTGGACACGTCCGTGGCACTGACAGAGCTTCAGTTCCCAGACATCTAAAATGGGATGATACTATCTCACAGCCTAACTCGTAGATTATCCAGGTGAAGATGAGGTTTGAACCTATTTTGTAAATGGATGATAATTGTGGTCTGCAACTGGAATATTTTTTGGTGTATGCGTAAATTTTTCATGACCGAACAAGCATTTCCATGTCATTTTGTGTTCTTTTTTTCCACTTAAAAGTATATCATTAATATATTTTCATGTATTAGCATTCCTCATGATTGTTATTTATAAGGTGTCAAAATATCACATTGTGACCAATACCCTCATTTTGGCAGTTTTGAAGTCTTTCATTGAATTTGGAAGGAAAACAGGCAAACTTTTATAAACCTTCCCGTGACAGGGTTATCACCAACTGTTACACCTGTAATACTGGTTATACCATCATTATCACTACCACTGTTACTACAATAATAATACTTAATAATAAGCTACAGTTATTCACTGCCCACTTAGTGGCAGGTACTATCTACTAAGAACTTTTCCCACAGGAACAATTTTAAATCTAACTTCATCTTATTTTACCAGTAAGGATACTGAGGCAGTGAATATTGAAGCACTATGTCCCAATTCCACTGATACGAAGTAGCAGAACCAAGATTTATACCAAGTAACATAAGACTTTACTGTCCAGTACAATATCTGCATACCACATGTGACTTTTTAAATTTGAATTTAAACTACTTAAAATTAAATAAAATTACACTTCAAGTTCATCCATCACACCAGTCATACTCAAGTATTAGGTGGCCTCTTGTAGCTATTGGCCACTATATTGCATAGATTAGAGAAGGAACATTTCTGCTGGGTCTTTCTTGCACCCAAGTATAGATGTCTATTCACATTGTTAAACATTTCTTTTTCTTATACTTCTTATTTTATTGTTTGATAATTCATTCTAATAATTCCAGTATAAGATCCTAGACCTCAATTTGAGATTTATCTCATAAATATACTATATGCTTTGGTGTGTGTAAGTTTAAACATTTCATCAGTATTTTATTCTAATCCATGGCAACAGCAAAATGTTTATTTATTTATTTTTTTACTTAAGAACGTGGAATTGCTTTAATGAATTCTTAAATTTTTCGCCTCTGATGTGCATGCTAGTATTTTCCCTGAAAGGGCCAATGGTAATATCACAGTACATACACACATGTACATAGCTATCTCTCTCTCTTTTTTTTTACAATTAGCAAATTTAAATCTTCACATTGATCCCCTGATTTGTTATTATCCTCATTTTACGGATAAAAATTGAGGCTTAGATATTAAGGAACTTGTCCAAAGACATATGGCAGATGATGAAGTGGACCTTTTCCTGCTACATGTTGTAAATTATTGCCTAAATAAATGATAGAGAAATAGTATCGAAAAACTGGGTTGAGGGCCAGGCACAGTGCTCAGGCCTGTAATCTCAACTCTGGGAGGTTGAGATGGGGGAGGATCACTGGAGAGCAGGAGTTCCAGTTTTAGAGCAGAGACTAGAGTGAGCAAGACCAAGACCCCATCTGTTATAAAACAGAAAGGTTAGCTGAGCACGGTGATAGAGGCCGTCAGCTGAGCACGGTGATAGAGGCCTTTAGTCCCAGCTACTCAGGAAGCAGAGGCAGGAGGATTCCTCAGCCCAGGAGTTTGAGGTTGCAATGAGCTACGATGATGCCACTGTACCCCAGCCAGGGCAACAAAGTAAGATTTTATCTGAAACAACAAGAACAAAATAAAACCCATAACCAAAAACAAACAAAACTTGTTTAGGAAGGAATGGGGAGATTTAGATAATGCTAAATATGATGCAAATGTCAAGGAACTAAAGAGATATTAAAAAAATAAATCCCCAGCTGTTGGATTATTTCTAAATATTAAAAGGCCACCAAATGTAAACTACTCTTTTACTGAACCTAATGATAATCAGTTGTAGAGAAGCACTCTGTTCCTGAACTAATTCATGTCTTGAAATATGGATTCATTCATTCTTACAATCAAAGGAACACAGGTGGTCTTACAGAAAGCACAGTATAATAAAATGTTTTCATTCTTTTTATGACACTTATCGGGAGGATCCTCTGATTTTACTTAAGGCAATCTAAACAGATAACGTACAAAGGATTTTAAAATTCTAAGCAAAGAAATTATTGGCCTAGATTTTTCCACCATGAAGTATCTGCTATACTCCAACCAAGATTCAAGCTCCAGCCTTCTAATATGCCCCCTGGTATTAGCAATTTTCACACTAGTAACTAAGGCAAGGAGAGAACTGGAAGGGTAGAGCGTAAGTTGATTAGCACAGTTATTGATTTCGCTCCATTGCTTGCCTGGAAAATCTTTGGTGCATAAAACTTTGAACACGACACATCTATCTTTGGAAATTATTACATCCAAAATTTGGTTACTTTAGATACCAGTTTCCTTTACTCAGGCAACTTCTTAGAATCTTCTTTTACACATGTCTCCTTCTTTAAAACTTTAATTAATATCTGGGTTTTTAAAGAAAAATTATGAGATTTTATGTTTTTTTCTTTTTATTAGCTAAAATAATATCTGTAGAGTTTCCCATAAGCTGCCTAAGTCGGGAGATGGGAACGTCTCTCAGATGCAGGATTTATTCCGGTTCCACCACAGTTATTTTAGATTATTCCATAGACTAATGAATTTATCTCCGATACAGCTTTTAGCTTTTAAATTTTTCACATAAGAGGAATAATAAATTGCCTGTCATTGTTACTTTTCATAGTACATTGGAACTATTATTTAAGTAACAGAGGTGTTTTCCCAATCTTATTAGTCTTGACAGAGAAGTACAGTATTTGCCCAAGCACATTATCATGTTGACCTGCCTTTTTGATCAGCCTCCCAACAATGTATTTGAGTGATGTTTCATTTGCGTTTCAGTGAATTCATTGTATTTTAACACAAAGAATTAAAAGACAAAACGACCCACGGAGCTCAATCATCCTGATTTGTAAATTATGATCGTCTAAATCACCTTTCTGATTCCAACATGGTCTAACAGGCTGTGATAGCATCATATTTTTTTTTCCTGTTAGATGCAAAATAGTTATGTGATGTCTTTGTTTTAACTTATTAAAGTTTGTCTTGTATGTTCCTTGGGTATAAGTGGGTTTTGATTGTTTTGTTTTGTTAATTTTTTAAAATTTACTTTCAATTATTATGGGTACATACATAATAGATGTGTATCTTTATAGGGTACATATTCTATTTTGCTAACAGACATGCAGTGTGATCAATCAAATCGGGGTCATTGGGGTATCCATCACCTCAGACATTCAACATTTATTTGGGTTAAGAATGTTCCAGTTCTACTATTTTAGTGGCTGACCTGTTAACTCAGTGGATAGAGACTAGAGTTTGTTTAATTTTCATGTTTCTATACTACAGTATTCCATCTTCACAACTATATGTCTGCTTTACCATCCACAATTCTAATTTAGTTCCTGAGCTCTTTCTTAAGTTAAAAAGGTCGCTTGACAGTAGGAGAAACTCAATCAGTGGCTGGTGGTTTGAAAGGAGTACATTGTATCTCATTTTTGTATTCGGAATCAGTGCATCATATAAATGCATTCTGAATAATGCATGTCTCCTACTTTAATTACTTGTTTAATTATCTTCAGTTTGTTTCAAAGCCTAGAGCAACTGCTGTTGCTTGAATGATTAGCAAATTGCTTCCAGTTGCAGAGATCTATTTTCTGTTCTTTCTTCTGGTAGTGATTGCAGATCGGCCTCCCCCAGTTATTCGGCAAGGTCCTGTGAATCAGACTGTAGCAGTAGACGGGACTTTAGTTCTCAGCTGTGTGGCCACAGGCAGTCCACTGCCCACAATTCTGTGGAGAAAGGATGGAGTCCTTGTTTCAACCCAGGATTCTCGGATCAAACAGCTGGAGACCGGGGTGCTGCAGATCCGATATGCGAAGGTAACGGCCCCACGCTTCCTGTCTGGCTGCACTTTGATTTTGTTTTGTGTTGAAATCTTAGATTTGGGAGGTAATAAATGCTGAATTAAAACTATCGGTGCATTTTTTATTTTGATGCTTGATTTTTGCAGACATGTCAGTGTCTACATTTGAGATGATCTGATTTATAAATTAGCCCACAGCAAGTAACTTAAGGTGATTTGGAAGAGGAAAAAAGATTTCTAAGAACCAGCTGAGGAAAGTAGATGGGGATGTGTGGGAGAATAAATACTTTCCAACCTCTTTTCAAGATATTTTCCAGGACCATTTCATGTGCAATGTACTTAAAAGGTTCTTCTATTATAAGCAATTAGATCAGAATTTTACAGGTACAACATGCTGTACATGCAAACAAAAACGATCATATAAAGCAGTGTATACACTGAGTGTACATTTCAAAATCAGAGTGTCACGTGATGGAATGCCCACATGTCTATGGGAGCAAGTTAGGCATTTCCTGTCCCGGGGCATCACACTCTGCTGTGCCTATTATTTCAGGACTGTGTTTTGGTTTTATTTTTATTTATTCTTTTTTTTTTTTTTTTTAGGTCAAGATCAGGCAAGTTCCCAAAGCACATGAAAGAATAGTCTTGGTAGCAATAAACAAAAATTTCCATGACCTTGTTGCCTATTATGGGCGACTCCTTTGGAGTCCTGGGTCGGCGTCACAGTCCACTTCATATGCCGCCAATGTTGATATGTTGTCCTTATTTGTGACAGCTACTTTGTGATAACCCTGTTGTTACTGCGATTGCCAGAACGAGATGACAGCATTTTTGCTTTATCAAATGTTACTTGAAGTTAGAGTTATTAGTTTAAGCAGACATACATGGGTTTTCTGTGGTGCTGGTGGTTTTAAAGTGAGCCGTGAGATCAGTCTGTCTTTTCTTTCATTCCGTTTTCACAGCGAGTCCTAAAGTCACCCCTACGTCCCCAGAGAGAGAGAGAAAATGAGAAATTATAGCTAAGTGTGCAATATTTCTTTACAGAAAAATTATTACAAATGTTTTCAAAGAAGTGGGCCAACCCCTAGGGAATATATCATAAATACTTTGCAAAATTTGGTAATGAATATTTTGTAAATAAAGGCACATTTAGCTGTAATTTCCCATTATGTCTAAGTATGGTGAGTTTATGGGTGACTTCTAGAACACCTTGTAGAAGAGAGAAGAGTGTTCATTCCCGCTAGAGTTTGGTTTTTTACTTCTTAAACTGCCTTAAATTCTCAGTTTGAAGAAATGAGTACTAGGGCTGAGTACTTTAAGAAGAAATCCTTTTTTACCCATCCCATTTCTACAAATACCTGTTTATCCCACATATCCATAGGGGCGCATCTTTGATAAAATATGGAAATGCAAGAACAGTCGCTGGCTAAACTTTATCACCCTCATTATGTAACATAGCAAACACCAAGATAGAATTTGAAGTGATGTACCCTCGTAATTATTGTTTTTGCCATTGATAATAACAATACATTAATGCAGTTAATATTATGTGTTCATTATATAATTAGAATGATCAAATCAGACCCCTGTCCTTCTCTCCTCATGCAGTATTTCCTTCAGATTCAATAAAAATATACTCAGTTAAGAGGAGGTTTGTGGATGGCCCAGTGTAATGCCGTTATCCATATTCATGGACCATAGACAAAGCTGTAATGGCTTTTCCAGCCCAGTGAGCTCTTGATCATTCCAAATATTTATTTTCTGTCTGCATTCTCAGCTGGGCGACACTGGTCGGTACACCTGCATTGCATCAACCCCCAGTGGTGAAGCGACATGGAGCGCTTACATTGAAGTCCAAGGTAAATTAGGTCATATTTCTGCCTTACAATGAAGCTTAAAATGCCGTCGTTTACTTGCTGGTAAATTGATGAATTGAACATCCTGGTCTCAGAGTAGGTCTATGTATGGATAGTTCACCTCTACTTATTAACTTATCTGCACATGTATAAACATCTTTCTCTTATCTTTTTCTCATGTGTTAGAATTTGGAGTTCCAGTCCAACCTCCGAGACCCACTGACCCAAATTTAATCCCTAGTGCCCCCTCAAAACCTGAAGTCACAGACGTCAGCAGAAATACAGTGATGTTATCGTGGCAACCAAATTTGAATTCAGGAGCAACTCCAACATCTTATATTCTAGAAGCCTTCAGGTAGAGTGAAGAGGCTATTCCTAGTTGTTCTTGTTTGATTTAACATTCAATATGCATGTTCTAACTTGTGTGCCTCTCCTCAGCCATGCTTCCGGTAGCAGCTGGCAGACCGTTGCAGAGAATGTGAAAACAGAAACATTTGCCATTAAAGGACTCAAACCTAATGCAATTTACCTCTTCCTGGTGAGAGCGGCTAATGCATATGGAATTAGTGATCCAAGCCAAATATCAGATCCAGTGAAAACACAAGGTAAACATTGATTTACATAACCTGTGACACTTACTTATCCTTGGCATGTTATAATTGCACAGGAAGATAATTTGTACTACGACACTTACCACACTGCCGTTGTACATTCATAATATAATCGGTTGTCCAAGTTGCTTAATTAATCTTTGGTGCACAAGCACAGTGTCTATAAACTTTATTGTTTTTTGGACTAAACATGCCAAGATAAGATTAATGAGAGTTATTTCTCATTAAAATACAAATTCACTAAGACAAAACTATTGTGTGAATATCTGCATATACTATTCAGTTTGTCATTGACTTATAAATAAAGTTACATGTGGGTGTAAAGTCTTAATCATATTCTCATTGCATTTAAAATGGAATATATTTTATTTATGTTTACATTCAGGACTAATAACTTTCTGGGTAAATTCTTAAAATTGCACCCCTAATCAAGTAATACTCTCTCAAAATCACGCAAGTCTAAGAGATATCTGGAAATTTGTTCTTAATCCGTCTGTGCAGTCAGCCTCCTACAAAGCATGGGATAAATACTTTAGGTCTTTACTTTGATTGTCAGTTACACGAATCATAATATATGACATTTGTAAATGGAAAACACCTATATTTTGGTCAAAACTGGATTTAAGAAACAGATTAAAAGAAAAATTGACATGATTAAAACTGCTTCTAAAAGATCTGAAACTAGAGCTTTTATTCATTCAGGCAGCATTGTTTGGGCTATCCTGCTGTTTATCTTTTTTTTTTTTTTTTTTTTTGGCAGTATTTGGCCAGGGCTGGGTTTGAACCCACCACCTCTGGCATATGGAGCCGGTGCCCTACTCCCTTGAGCCACAGTCATCACCCCTGCTGTTTATCTTTTGTGAATAGAAATTATTTTTAGCTTTCAACAGATACATTATTTCATTTCCTCTTCTCTGCCTTCTTGTTCGTCCTATTATTTTAATGTTCTATAGGAGTAACGTTTGTACATGGGGTAAAAATGAATTTGGTTCAACCTTTACCTTTAAAACCAAACAGAAAGTCCTTGGAATTAAAATGTACTTGTTTTATGTTAGTAAGGAAGATAAGTTTTGGAGGGAGGAATTAAAAATAAAGAAAATATTTTCTCAGTGTACAGCGTTTCTACCTTAAGGTTTACATTTCCAAGGAAAATTGTAACCTTGTTCTAGTAATAGAAACAAGTTATACATGAGATGACTGAAAGACTTTAGCAACTTTTCTTCCAGTTGGGAGGGGGTGTGCCGGCCCTGTTGCTTGTTTTGTCTTTTCTAGTGTGTGTGTAAACAATATTTTTAGGAGGATTTTGTTTCAGAAATCACAAAGAAAGCAAATCAAGTCATAGGACATGCCCATGTCTGTCTCTCGTGTGAAGCTAACGCACCCAAATGCCCATAAATGCTTGGCTATTATGAGTCACCTCCCGGGGAGCTTTACTATACGTGGAGCCTACCTTGGGGCCATTTGGGGCTTTCAATATTTGATACACATCTGTAAAGAATGCAGAAACTATGACAGCCATAAACTGAATTTAAACTTTCCCCCCCACTACCATGGTCTCTATTCAGTAGACTCTACTGAAAGTTTTTATGGACTACTGCTTACAATCATGTAGTGACATGAATGGCTTTGTAACTTACACACTCATTTGTGAGAAGGTAGTTGGCATTTTATCTGAATGTTATTTTGAGTCTTAAAAAATTTAAACAACTTGATTAGCTCATGGAGCAAACTAAATGAAATGAATCTGTGTCAACTGGAAGACTAGAAATATAGAAAAACAGGTGTCCAAGTTGGAAATCAAAAAGATTTTCATCACAGCTCCTCAGTCTACTAACTGTGGGTGGCCTTGAGCAAGTCAGTTCTCCCAAACTCCAGCATACACCCACTCCTTAGGACTGGACAAAGATTAAGTTGACTAATCAATGTGTAAGTATACATGATACAGATTCTTTTTCTATTTTAGAAAAAAATAAGCTTTTGTTATTGGACTTGTATTTCCTTCGCTGTCTGGAGTAAAAATAAAGGGAATTCATAAAATTTGTGGATATCATAAAACAGAGATAGACAGCTAGCGTGCCAAATGCGAAAACCAAAATTAAATATATCTCGACAGACTAGAATGATGAGCCAGTGCTAACAAGATTAAAATTAATAAAGCAAATGAAAAAGTCTGCTACTTGGATTTAGGTTTAAAAAATTAGCTGTGAAAGGATAGATTGAGACACCAGGCTTGAGGAGAATACAGGGGATTGAATGTCAGGGATTGTATGTCAGGGATTGCAGGGGCGGACACACTTTAGGGTCTAAAGTCAATTCAAACAGCTATCTGAACAATTTTAGGGACGTAGTTGCCAGATGAACAAGTGTAGTCTTACCTGGAATTAGCACAATTATGTATGAGTCTTGTGATCCCCCCCCTTCCTTTTCTCAGAACTGATCAGATCGTGAATGGAGTAGTGGGTCTGTTCTGAGCCCTGCATCTTCAGACAGGGCTTTAAAGACTTTTAAGATAGGAAGACAATGAAGCTAGTTGGTGAGGCTGCATGAAAAGCTTAAAAATCGCATGATAGGAAAAGAGATTGAGGAATCTAAGGCCGGTTAGTTCAGAAGAGTGAAGTCAGAGCAAGCACAATATTCGTTCCTTAACATGTTGAGGGACTGCCGTGCTTCTCCTGGCTCCAGGCAACAGAGGAGGAACAGGGAAGCTGATTGTGTTAGTTAGTTCTTGCTCTTCTTGTGGGACACTGTAAGCCCAGGAACCCTGGAAACAACCTGCAAAACAGCCTACCCAGGGTACCGAAAGCCAAGGGGAGGACACGTAGGAAAGACGTGTTGGAAATTCATTCCTAAGGGAGTAGGCATAATTTCTATACCATTTCTAAAGAATGACTGCAGAAGAGTCTTCCCCAAATAGAGGGATCTCTGAAAGTGCTGGGGTCAGGAGTTAAGGATGCACAGCTGGAGTGAGAGCTGTGTCACAAGTAATCAAGACGTGCTCTTCAAGGATGAGATTTGCAAATCCCAGGAAGACGAGATGAATGGCGGCAGGTAGGGGCGGGGTTGCTGGAATGAAGTGGTTGCTACAATGTTACTGTTCCTCAGCCACATACTCTATCCACTGAACTTTATTCAGCTCTAGTTTTCAAAGAGTATGTGTATGTGTACACGCAGACTGTAACAGGATATACATTATACCTATAAGAAGATGCCAGTTACTGTAAAGGAGTGAGGCCTGAATAATCTCCCTCAGAGCCGGAGGAGTATGAGGGTACAGTTGTAAAGAGCAAAGTCTAAGGTTTCTTTTCATTCCAATTCTAAATGTGGGGAAAGAGCTTGGACGTATGTGATAATAGCTGCTTTTTTTTTTTTTTTTTTTTGTATCTTTTGTTTTGTCAGGAGGAGGAAAAGGGGAGCAGGACCAATAATAGGTCAGTCAATAAATGACTGACTTTCCAATTTTCTCTCCAACGTGAAATTTTCTAAAATACTATTATAGACCGCTAGTGCCAAAATGGTATACTTATTGGGGGAAATCAAGGGATTTTCCTGAAGAGATTGACTAGCAGGTTACTGTGAAACCAGAGAAATTAGGGATGAAGACGCAAATCATGGTAGTTCCTTATAAAATGGTTATTTCTGTATTTGAATATACTTCCTAAAAGGCAGATGATTCGCTGAGCATGAGAGCTTATATATGAGGGAAACGTTTGGAAGCTGATCTAATGTGTGTTTTCCATACACTAATACGTTTGAATTCAACCTATATTTATTAAATATATGACACACACACACACATATACGTGCATATAGCACTGTGCTGGGTAATAAGGCTTCACAAAGATTGGCCCAACCCCTGCCCTCAAGAAAGGCCTTTTTTGAATATATCCTGAGATAGATAAACTGTACAGATCGGAATAACTATTGTGCAGAGAACTGTTTGAACAGACACAGGTACTTGGAATCAGTGCCTGTCCAAGGTGCCTGGTTCATTTGCAAAGCTGCTTTTCTTGAATGCTAAGTTGTCTCCTGGGGGAAATATCTTGATACTTTGTATTTGTGATTCTGTGATATTATTACTTCAACATGAAACATTGGACAAAAGTTAATGCGGTAAAAAACTCTAGCTTATTCTTCTACTGTGATAAAAGATTTACCATAAAAAGACAGTTAACAGTGGGGGAAAAAAAAGAAAACCCTTTTTGTTTCCTACCACGAGGCGCTTCTTCCAGCTGTGCTCAGGAGTAGCTACATTTGCTTGTCACCACTGGACACCTCAGGAAACCGGAGAAAAGCGACATTGAGAAATCTCCCCGTGTCACTTGGTTTTTAAGCAGCCGAGGAGGGGTCCCAACCCAAATCTGTTTCATTCCAAGTACTTCACTCTTACCCTAAGGATAAATGATATCTTTTTATAGAAGTGATTAAAACCAGTAGGTGAGGAAAAGACAGAAAGGTACAGTCAAGTGTTTTCCAGCTGTCCAGGCTGTGATAATAGTTATCCTGGGGGCCGCTACTAGCAGCAGCGGTGTTTGTAAGGAATGATGGAGTATGCAGCTCAGAATTAGCTCAGTTGTTTTTCTAATTTTGCTTATTTGTTAAGTATATATAAATTAAGCTTATAAATAAGCAAAATCAAAAAACTTGTATATATATATATGTATATGTGTGTGTGTGTATATATTAAGTGACGTGTAGGAGTGTTTAACACCATCTTTGATCTGTTACCTCTGTCCCCTGCCAGGCATCTCCAGATTCTGCCAGAGATACTTACCAGGTTCATTTTTAATATTCGTGGTTTTGCTAGCTATCTCTGTCAGTTCTGGGAAGGTGTTTAACCATCAGAAAACTAACTTCTCCTTTTCACTTCTTATGGCATAGTGGGTCACCTAGAACGAGTGCTAAAATGCCAGTCAAGGAAGGAAAATTCTAGACGGAAAACTAATATTCATTTTCTCATCTTCCTCATCCTGTACTCTCTTTTACTGTTTTATACAAAGCAAAACAGCTGTATTTAGAAAAAAAACCTCTTGAGAAACGGGCAATTTTTGCTGAGCAGAGACATCAGTTAAGTTTAATAAAAATACTTATTGCCAGGAAAAAAAAAAGTGTGACATAAATTAACCCTAGTAACACCAAAGAGTGTTCTTGGTCTCATTGCTAAAATGTTGGAGTTTTTGAGATTGAAGAAATTTTATGAAACCTTCTTTGCTCTGATGTAATAGCTAAACTAAATCATCATTAATTAAATAAATGCTATGTGCTTTTCTGATCGATCTAATCAGATTTATTTTACATCACTTACCTGATGGCGCTGTATCTCCCATTTGAACACTAACTGACCACGTCTAGTATTGGGGAGTGTTATCTAAGTTGCTGCCTCTGGCTTTTTTCTGTACTTGCTTTTCACTCAGCGTGTCTCCATTTTCCCCCATTTTCCAGCCATGCTGCCGTAATTTCCAGCTCTTTTCTTTCTTGCATAGAAGGTTATAACAGACTCAGAGGGCATTGCACTAGTGTCCTGGTTCTTAGCAAGAAAATGATCATTACGTGGTAGGAGGGGCCATTACGCGGCGCTGTTTGCCATCGTTATCTTGCCTCCTGCTCTGTTTGGCTTTCTGTATGCTCGCGCTCTTTCTGACTCTCTCACTCTCTCTCTTTCATCCTAATAAAAAGGTTAACTTGTTCCTATTTTACTCTGTATCACAGACGGGCTTCATAATCCCAATGATTCTTCTTTTCCAAAAGTCGCTGTGAATGAAAGGATTGTTTCCCCTGCTTTCACTCAGTTCAGTAACATCGCCTGGCACCTGACGCCGTCTTCTTGAATTGTTGCAGATGTGCCGCCAACAAGTCAGGGGGTGGACCACAAGCAGGTCCAGAGAGAACTGGGGAACGTTGTGCTGCACCTCCACAACCCGACCATCCTTTCCTCCTCTTCAATCGAAGTGCACTGGACAGTGAGTTGTTGTTGTTGTTGCAGTATTTGAGCTCAGTTTTAATAAGCAGGTGACTTCTGTGAGATCACCATATATATAATTATACACAGATATGTATACGATTTAACTATCTGTTTCTTCCTTCTACGCTAATGATAACTTTATAATGTAAGCAGTGTTTGTTATGGGAGCTGTGGTCTGGCTTTAAACAGTGAAAAGTTTCATCATATGTGTGTTTTGTCTATTATGCTACAATAGTGAACCCTATCATTCCCAGGGGGAAGAAGCACCAGAATTAACTATGCGTATGTAACTTGTGATAGGACCATTGTCTCACGGATGTTTATTAAACTTAGAGATATTCCCAAGTAGTAAGCTTAGAAATATTCCCCTTGGCCAAGGCATGCCTCTAGATGATGCGTCTCAGAACTACCACGATGCCTCACACTTCAGCACAGAAATTAATATCACCTTACAAAAGATAGTGGATTATTTTTAGTATTCTGTTTATATGAACGAGAAAAATGTGGGATAAAACCAGATAGACATTGTGGCATTTTATCATATAGAATTTTTATTATTTTCCAATGAACCAATAAAAAGGTATAAATGATTGTATTTTTATTTGTCATTTTAACAGGTGGACCAACAATCTCAGTATATTCAAGGATATAAGGTTCTCTACCGGCCATCCGGAGCCACCTATGGTGAATCAGAGTGGTTAATTTTTGAAGTGAGGACCCCAACCAAAAATAGTGTGATTATCCCTGATCTCAGAAAGGGAGTCAACTATGAAATTAAGGCTCGCCCTTTTTTTAATGAATTTCAAGGAGCAGATAGTGAAATCAAGTTTGCCAAAACTCTAGAAGAAGGCAAGTATGATAAAGTGTGTGACTTCTGTGCATCACAGTATGTTTGTTAGGCTTTTATTAACTTAATTGAAATTGTTGAAATGTTAATAGTGACCTTAATTGTTAGCGGTCTTGATATTGAACATATATTCTGCTGATGTTCATATATATATTCATATATTGAACATATATTTGTTGAATTAAAACAACTAGAAAAACTAAAATGCAATGGTCTTATTTCAGTAGTGGCCTGTATAACAATGTGTATATGGGAACATTACATTATTTAATGACATATGTAGAGAATATTGAATTAGTTGGGACTAAAATTCACATTTAAAGATGGAATTGTTTTCAGTTTCCTTTCAATTCGTTTTTGGTAAATATTTATGGAAAGCTGTTTTGGTTCATTATTTGTGAATAACATGAATAATGTTTGGTTTGCTTGGGAATTTCTGGGGTTAGCATTTTCTTCTAATATCTCATGTCCTTGGAAACCCCTTAATTCTAGGCAGGACAGTACAGCAGGCCATCTTATAACTGAAAAGTGAACATTAATATTTACATGAAGGGAAAAGGTTACATGTCATAACTATATTAAAAAAACACACTTTTTCTTGATATGTCTTTGTCACTTTCACTATACAAATGATTATCATCAATGATTATCATTCATCTTTATATTTTTGAACACTTGTAGGGAGAAGATAAGACTAGGGTTTCAAGGTTGGAGAAATAGGAATTTTCTTGGGATATTATGTAGAAATAATGCATATACCTTTGGAAATGGAAAATTATGGAAAAGTTATGGAAAATTTATACTAACAATTGGTTCACTATATTGAAGAAAAAGATACGTAGCTTGGGATTTAGAAGTGGATGAAATGCATCTTTAAAACATCTGTGTAATATTAATATAGTTATACTTGAATTTTAGATATTAATTGCCTGCTTTCAATGTTCTAGTGCATTCCCTAATATAATGTATTTTTAAAAACTATTTAATAGCACCCAGTGCCCCACCCCAAAGTGTAACTGTATCAAAGAATGATGGAAATGGAACTGCAATTCTTGTTAGTTGGCAGCCACCTCCAGAAGACACTCAGAATGGAATGGTCCAAGAATATAAGGTAATTCATGTGTACTACTTTATAGGCGATACCCTTCTCCATCCACCAAAAGAAAGCTGGTTAAACTGTTTGTGGATATTTGGCGCCATCTGCTGGTCAAAGTGTCAAATATAAAATTATGTTTAAACAGTTTGCTGTGCACAGACAATGTAGTAATGTTTTTTCTACAAAAGCCATTGTAAAAAAAAATTAATTAAGAGATAGAATCTAAGTGGTCATAAAATCTATAGCTCCTTCTGATTCACACAAACAACAAATTTAAATGGTAATAAAAAAATCTTTTTCCCCCTAAAAATAACTTAAACATATTTCACAGGATTACATTGCCCTGTGGGATTAGCTACAAATCACATTGTGTCCAAAATGGTTTATTTTTCTACATCTTTGAAATTATAGAACTTTAGAGTTGAGCCGGAAAAAGACTGTTTTAGTGCACATGAAAACATTTTTTGCTATAAAGCTTTAATCTCTAAACAAAATTTCATGTCTCAGAGGAAATTCCATTATCCATATCTGTATGTTTATGTGAATTTTTAAAATAGGTAAAGTTAAATGATTTGATCTAGTGATTCTGAATCATTATTTTTACCTATGAACTTACCAGCTTTCTTCAACGAATATAGACAGTCTCTATTAATTTTAAGCAAATATTTTTAAGCATGCTACGATTGCATCAAAAACTAATTTAAGAAAAACGAAACTTCATCAAAAGAGTGTAATTGACCTTATCATTCTAATGAATCTGTATTATAGGATAGTTTTAATGAGCTATGATAAATGAATAATTGATAAGTTGAATCAGGAAAACCTCAGTAAAAAATATATTTCCTGTGTATTATTTATCTCTCTTTATTAATGTCTTTTATTTTATTTTATTTTCCTATAGAGACAGGGTCTTATTCTGTCACCCAGGCTGGAGTGCAGTGGCACAATCACAGCTCATTGCAGCATCAATCTTTTGGGCTTAAGCAATACTCCCACCTTAGCCTCCTGAGTAGCTAAGTCTAGTGCCACCATACCCAACTAAATTTTTTATTTTTCTGTAGAGACAAGGTCTTGCTATATTGCCTAGGGTGGTCTCGAACTCCTGGCTTCCACTGATCCCCCTTCACCTTGCTTTTCCAAAGTCCTGGTATTACAGGTTTGCCTGGCCTAATGTATTTTTTCAATAGTTATATAAGCATAGTACATACTGGAAAAATTGTAACTACCAAACATGTACTTCTTTAGACACTGGTTTATAATTTGTTGATGTCTGAGTATTTTTCTAGTTACTAGCTGAATTTTGATACTTAGATCATCCCCTATATGCAAATACTTTATACTTATTGACATGAAATTGCTGTTAGGAAGTGGACACCTTCTCCAGTTAGATCAGTGATTTTTAATGACATGCTGACATCGGAATCACGTGTGAAATTATTTTCCAAATATCGTGGCCACCACTGTCAGAGGTTCTGATTCAGTTGGTCTGACAAGAGCCTTTGCATGTGTATTTTGGTAAATCTGTCTAGGTGATTCTGCTGTGCACCCTTAGTTAAGGTCCAAGTAAAACGTTCTTTGTACGCAAATCAATTTGTACAATAACCAGGTATCCTGAGCTTAATTTTAAGTATAATACTTTATCCTTAAATGATTTTTTAAAACAATATGAAAACCTCTTTATGAAATATAAATTAATAGCACCCCTTTTTTTTTAAAGAATGTAAAATACTTCCATAAATGTACTGTGGATGCTAGAAGGTATTCCACATAAGATTGTCTAGGGTAATTGAGTCATTAAAAAGTAGAAATCTCTGCTTTCTTATGAGTTTCAAGGTTATTTCTATACTGGGGAGTGACAGGAGACTCAGTCCAGAAAAATAGACTATTATAGAAGATTTTTCAGGAACGAAACTGAGGTGATGTCTCAGCTCTCAAGCAAAATTGTATAATGTAGGCATTTTCCCCTAAGAGTCAAAACTCATTTCTTTCCTGAGGAAATGCAAAGGGGTGGATTTCACTTAACTTCATGGTCAATTTAAAATAATAAAATGCCTTTCAGAACCTGATTGACTGGTACAAAATCAGTTTGTGGCTTCGGTTCAGCTGCATAATGTAATTGGGGAAAAAGAAAATTCACAGTGGAGTCTGTCTTTCCAAATGGCCAGATTCTGAGATCACGTCTGACCATTCGTTGGTGTTATGTAGTGGAATTATATTCAAATAATATTAATTTTCAAAGAAAACACTTAGAGGCATATCGCCCGAATGATAGAGGACACTCAGATTCTTCATTTTCAATCCCTTTATCTATTACGGGTTAGACAATAGCCTGCTTGATACTAATCCTACATAATGCTTGAGGACATCATAAAGAATACAGAGCATGAGCATGTTTTATGGCTCCAGGGATCGTTTTCTGATGGAAACTGGGTTCAAAGATTGTCATGCACCAAATCCAAGTTCTTGAACATTGCAGAGAAATACTCTAATGAGTTAATCCCTCAGTGACATTTACAATAAGAACTTCTGTATAGTGTAAAAATGTTAATTTCTTGATAAAGTTTCTTATCACAAATATCTAAGTTAATGAGGTATACAATAACTTTCTTATTAGAAGAATGTCTTTTCTTTCACATCATATGTGTATTATTACTTTTTATCACTCATGTAATGAAAAACGAATTAATATTTCCATTTAAATATAAGGTCAAAAGGCTCCTCTACTCTCACTGATATTTCCACATACCATAGGCTGAACAAAATCATACTCTTTACTCAAAGAGTCATTACTCTTTGCAGTTTTATTTTAATAGCCATACTTAACGAAGTTACTTTAGATTATTTAAAGTTCCCTGTCCTTGTAAAAGTGCTTCTTATAAAATGGAAAATGACCGTGCCAGTGCCAGGTACTTTTATCCCTGCGAACAGTTGAAGTAAGATTCTAGACTCAGAGTTTCCTACTGTTTTTGTTTTATAATATCTGCCCCTCTTGCAGATATCATAAAACAGATAATAGAAAAATTATTGTTCTTTATCCAGAAACGCAAAGCTTTCTGCAAGGCCCTTTCTTCTAGTAAATAATTTCTGATATAGGCTGATATTGAGCCTCCTGGATATGGGCTGATAGGAACCAGTTATTTTTAAGCAAAAATTTGTAGACTTGCCTTGTATAACCCTTTAAAAGTGTACGTGAAAGTATAAGGTCTTGCAGCTGCTACAAACACTAGGTCTGATTAGAAGGGTATTCTCAGAACAAGATCTGACAGAACAACGACTCTGGAAACTTGTTACAGTAGGTTCCCAATCGGTCTGAACTCTGTCCAGCTCTGAAGCCACAGTCCTCTGTTGATCTTCACATTAACTCAGGAAATTTTCCAGCTTGACATTCATTGTGCCCTCCTTACAGGTTTGGTGTCTGGGTAATGAAACACGATACCATATAAATAAGACGGTAGATGGTTCCACCTTTTCTGTGATCATTCCCTCTCTTGTTCCTGGGATCCGATACAGTGTGGAAGTGGCAGCCAGCACAGGGGCCGGGCCGGGAGTGAAGAGTGACCCTCAGTTCATCCAGTTAGGTGAGTGTCCGGGTACATGCACCCTCGTGTCCGTCACTGTACCTCAGGTCCTACTGGGCTGAGCCACCATGGAAAAGTTTAATAAAATGTGGCATGTGGCTTAGAGCTGCAAGTCATTATCTGTATTTCCTACACAGATGGATATGCTGTATGTGGATGTAGAGAGATCGATATCTTACTAAACTTCAGCTTATCCAAGCACATGTTTTAGATGTTATTTCAAGCAAAAAGCTGTCAGCGTTCAACCTTTCCTCATCTTGACCCATAGAATTCTCTTTTCATCTGTTCAATATGTACTAGGAATTGAGTTCCAAAGATACTTCGGAGAAGAAGGAGGACACAGTCTGTATCCTTGTGGGATTCAGAATTGTTTAGATTCAGCAACAACAACAACAAAAAAAAACTTGCATGCAAAACTTAAATTAGACAGTGGAAGGTTAGGACAGTGTGCAATGTATATTCACATTTAGTGTCTGTTTAAAATTGTAATTACTTTTTATAACCGAAGATAGATGAAGATGTCAAAGAGCCTTGAAATATGCTCATGTGCTAATTACTTAGAATGTTGAATGCCATTTTGTGCTTCAGAAGTGGAGAGATGAATTTTAAAAAGAAAAGTGAGAACAAACCTGGCCTAGAAGCCTTCGTTACCACAATTTCCCGTAGGCACTGTGACAGGACCATAAAATACAAATTAGTAAGTGATACTAGTAAAATCCTAAACAAACGGCAGAAACAGCAACAAAGTATCTTTGCAATTTAAAAGTGGGCAGATAATAGGAAGTGACATTTAAATTATGAATGGTGCTGAGAAGTATGTAGTCAAACTTATGTCTGTGCTTTCCAGATCAGAAGTTAAGCATTAGTAATATTTTATATCAGTTTCTAAATTATGAAAAAAGACTAGACGTATGAATCTTTATACTTCACAAGCAGTTACACATTATTTTTGTGTGTCGATAATATTGAGGACATCCTAGAAAGTATTATGGAAAAAAATTAAGAAGCTTTCGGCTTTGATAAACTTTGCTGCTATACATCAAGAACGTAGCATTAATTTTGAAAATCGTCATTGATATGTCATGGTGAAGACAATGCCTGCTGCTGTGACAAATATACTTGAAGAATGTCTGTCATATAACATAAAAAACATCTATCAAAAGTCCAGCTGTAGGGTGGGATTCATTCCGTACAGACCGTGAGGATCGTAGACTGATGAGTCTTGACCTCTTTGACCTGGGGCTTCCAAGGTGGCCCCTGAGCGTGTAGAAAGGGGAATAGGAGAGGCACCGTTACAGGAGGATTTACATGGAGAGGTCTGGAAACGGTGCGAATTACTGCTGCCCAAGGTGACTGCAGATAGATAAATGGGGTCATGATGGAACTAAGTCACAGGCTAGGAAGCCGCCTCCCCACAGCTCTAGTCTGCGACAGTCCCATTTAAGCTTTTAGTGAAGAGCTTGCTGTCTCTTCAAAGCCAGGGGTCAAAACTTGATGTTTGGATTCATCTTCTACACTTAGCACATTATAAAACAACGATTATCTGCACCAGTTTTAAACAAAAATAGCATCAGGGTTTATTTCAGGCAATATAGGAAACTACTAAAAAAAAAAAAGCCTGATGTACCTGTTACAATGCTATGCGTGATACAAAGGAAAATGCACAGTTTAATTGAGGAAATATTTGCCCAATTTATTAAAATTGAAATTATAAGTTACATTATGATGACCCTATAAACTGTTGATGTTGTTTACCTATTTTTTCTTAATAAACATAAGACTTTTAGTCCTGGTTTGGGGAAGATAACTTGGAAAAAGGACCATGTGTCATTTTATTTATGTAGGATTTAAATCATGGAATTTAAGGGTCAAATTGGTGTTCCTGAAATTATAGACGGGTTCAGTTTTCCGTATCTCAATATAGCCTCAGCTGCAGGGGGACAGAGACTGAGGTCCAGAGGAGCTGTTTTAATTCATTAGTCACACTGCGCTTTATTCTGTTAAGCCCATCTGGTTGTTTGCATGGAACCTCTCCTGGCCGTTTCCAATAAAATCTGAAGCTACCCAACGTAATCTTGCACAAATAGCCATGAAATCTATAAACCTAGCAGATATAAAGGGTGTATTAGGAATAAAAAGAATAGGTCTGCTTGCTGAACTTTCAGAGGATGAAGGGCTCTTAAGAATACCAGATATAAACGGGTCTGGAACGTGAAATGAAACTTTCAGTCAACAAACAGTTGAAGGCGGGTGACTGCTTATGAAAACAGGTTTTTTTAGCCTTGCCCCTCTATCTGAGATTCAGTTCAGAAAAAAAGGGCAAATTGAAAAACCACACACACACACACACCCCAAGAAGGAATTTAGCCATTTTCCACCGAAAAGCTGCTATTTTCCTAAAATCTGCTTCTTTGAGCCATTGAATGCTGCTGATGTTCCCTGCCAGTTGTCTTGTCAAGATGCAGGAATTTTTTCCTGTTTTAAGAAGTGTTATTCAAATAGAATGAGCTATACCAGTTATTTTTCTGGAGAAAAATGTATTTTTGGACTGGAAAGTGTTTCTATCTTAAAGCAGGTTATGTTAGCAGAATTGTTATATTTCTATTTGGTTTGGTCTTGAGTCTCTTTTGGGAAAGTGGCTGTAAAGTCTAGCCCTGCCCTGACAGGACCTCAGGGAATTTGGTTGTAGATGGCGACATTGTGCCTTTCACAGAATCTAGATCACCGCAGACGGCGTAATGCTGAAGCGCCCAACCCATGACCAGATGTCCCTCTCACAGGAAACTTGTTTGCACAGGCCGATGCCCTTGGCTCGTATCTGACCTGCGTCCAGTTTATTCCTGCCAATCTGGCCCCTCTTTAAGAGAGCCTTGACTGGGTGGAAAGTTAGGACTGAGCATGTTAGTCAGATAATACACAGAGGATGTAACACAACAAGAACAGATGAAATAATAGAAGCAGCGTCTTACAAATCCGTGATAGAAGAGGGAGTATTAAGCCAACAAGAGCAAAAGAGAAGGCCACAGAGCGATGTGCTCAGCCAGCATGAGGGGAGCCAGAGAGAGAGTGTGGATGGGCGGAGGTCTTGGTGTTCAGGGCAGTGCCCAACCAGGCTTCCTTGGGGGAGTTCTAATTGGTGGGCTCTTAGAGCAAACAGCACAAGTTCCACAGGGTCATGTCTTGACGGAGAATGGGCACTGCGTCCCATCTGCACAGTGCATGTGGGGTGCAGGGCCAGTGGGCGGAGTCAGGTCGGTGGTATCCGTACATCTCACACGGAGGGAGTCATGTAGGACAGACCCCTGGGTGCACGACACTGAGAATCCAGAAGGAGCCAGAGAGCTGGGAACTGTCAAGAGTGCAGATATCCAGCTCCTGATAGAAGGAAGTTAAACTTAAATTCAAAATGATGCATACAATTATAAGAATTCCCTACAAGAATATTTTTCAGAGTCAAATAATTTAATGATTATACGAAAGCATCAGTCCTCATGAAATGGGTAAATACCTTCCTGCTTCACCAAATATTGTAAGGGAAGAGCATTCAAACTGCAGAAAGCCATGGGCGTCCTGCCCACGGGGCACCCCCAGTGCCAGCTAAATGGGATATTGCTTTGAGGACAGAGAAACCTCCCCCGGTTTCCCAGAAAGACTTTGCTGACGGCCCTGTGTGCACTGTTATAATGGTGGGCTTAGAAAAGAATTTAGTAGGCTTAAAGTGTAAATGTAAAAGAAGTACGTTTTATGAGCCTTTATTCTTATCAATTTTTAATTCTTGAATCAAAATGGCTAACAGAACAGATAAGCCTTTTTGACTATTCATAACACTTGATAATTCTTGTACATATTTAATATTCTTTTCTTATATCTATTGCCGGCCAGGGTTATTATTTTAAAAGAAAGATTATTCATAGTTCTTTCAATGGTATTATTATCTTAATTTATCACCGTGTTTTAATGATCCTGGGTTTTAGAGGCCATTCTGAAAGTGTTTCTAAGACAGTTGACGGTCTTACAATATATAAGACTTGTTGGGGGGTACACATTCACACACACAGATATTTTTTCAGTATTTCCCTTAAGGAGGATATAAAATACAGCTATCCTTATAGAGGATATTTCTTCCCCTTTTTAATATGTATTTTTAAAGCTTTTCGTGGAAGTCTGAGGAAGTCCATATATTTTCTTTTCCCTTCATTATATCTTATTCAGTGCCCCATATTTGTTTGGACATGAGTTCCTTGTTTTTGCGCTTCCATTAAAATATCTCATTTTGTTTAGTTTTATATTTTTGCATTTACCTCAGTTGCAGAAGTAGGATCCCCTAAAATTATACCATACTTGTTTTGAATTAAAATAAGTATAATTTTGCTACAAACCTCATGAAATATTTTCTGTAATGATGGTTGGTGGTACAGAATGAAAAACAGAAGTCATCCCCCAATTGATAAGGCAGTGACAGTCACTTGGCATCACCAAAGTATGCTTGCATTATCAAACTGGGTTTTAAATCGCAATTAATTAGAAGATGGCTTTTCAGATTCTCATGGAAATCCAGTGTCACCTGAGGACCAAGTCAGCCTCGCCCAGCAGATCTCAGATGTCGTGAAGCAGCCAGCGTTCATAGCAGGGATTGGGGCAGCGTGTTGGATAATCCTCATGGTCTTCAGCATCTGGCTGTACCGACACCGGAAGAAGAGGAATGGCCTCACGAGTACCTACGCGGGCATCAGAAAAGGTATCAGCTGTCCTCAGTGTTCCATATTATAATGTCGATAAAACTCTTGCTTTTAATGTTTGACTCCAAATTATTCAGGGTTATACATATCTCATACTATTTTCATACCTAAAGATTTTCACAAGTGTTTTTATTTTATTGTGGCGTATCTACATATTAACTTATCTTTTACTTCACTTCCACTGCTACAGTTAGGGCCCACCAGGTTTAGGGTCCAGGTCTTTAAGAGGTTATTTCACCCAGGAAGGTCCACGCTTGGCTGTTAGTATTCCCCTGTTCTCTTAGGGAAAAATTAATTTATTACTTTTTATTCGTGAAGGAAATTTTTATTTCCTTGTTGCAGAAGTTACAAATACATGCTGTGAACTGTCTCACACGGTGTTAAGGGGATATTTCTGACCTTTGTGAAGCAAAAAAGAGAGAATACTGCTATTGTCATTCAGTTGCCAATGCCACAGTCCTGTCTTAGTGAATCTAGAATGTATAACTGAGGGATGGATGCTTCCTTACGGAGAGGTTTAGTACTTTTTATTGTTATATTTAAAGTTGTGGAATTGAATATGTTTATGGTGTTAACTGGTCAAGGTGATTTTATTACAAATATGTATATGGTTTTAGAAAAGAAATTTGTTACTTAAAATTTTAAGGATGAATCAAATATGCCAAGGTTTTTCACAGATACCTTTGCTACACATCATCAAAGATGATGACTTGTATTTTTTATTGTCTGAGGAGATTGTTAGCAATGTCAGGTAGATAATCCCCTCTGATCCCCAGATACATGCATTAACTCTATGCCTCAAACTGAGCCATAGGTTGGGTGACTGTAAGTGTCAGTTTTCGGGGGACAGTGCAGATTATGTCTTTAATCCAATAAAATTATTTCCAGGACTCCTTTTAGGTCTCAGAATCGTCATGATTTAGATGAAAAATTATGCAAATTACAGGGTCTGCACTTGAGCCTAATACAAAAGTTTTGCTTTGCTAAAAAGCAAATTTCAAGAGGATTACCAATAAAATCATCTTTGCTCCCCCATCGAATCCACTGTTTTCTTTCTCTAACTATCTGTACAAATAAATGTTTCCTATACATCTTGGGCAGATAATTTCTTTTACCAATTATCTGGAAAAGTTAGAACTTTTAATGTTAGCTAGAACTGGAATGTCCTTACGCATTTGTAAAGTAGTCTGGGACAGCAAAAGTCCTGCAGCTCTCAGTCAGGAGGAGTCTTGGCAGGAAAGAGTCACTGATACCACACAAACACAGCCCTGTGCCTCCTGCCCGTGGCTGAGGGGCGATCTCTTCACGGACATTCATTGCCTTAGCGTTATCGACATTAAGTATGTGTTTTTCAGACATGTCCTATCTGGAGATGAAGCAACATGTCAGTATCCCTGCCTGTGAAATGGAAAACGAGGCCGTGGAGGTTACTGGAAAGAGAACTGCTGCTCATTATGCATCCAAAGTAGAAAAATGCCAGGCACACGTGTCACCAGATCAAACCTGTGACTCAAATCAATGCCAGGGTTTGGGGGTGTCAGAGCGAGGGGGAGCCTGAAAGGAGTAGAAGGGGGACTTTGTTTTCAAGCATGATTTGAATGTGGAAAGCGAGTAATTAACATGTCGAGGTGGAGTCTCTCAAATTCTCCAACCAAAGACCTCCAACATCAACTTCATTTTGTGAACAGCCCGTCAGCAGAATCCTGTGTTTCTGAGGCTGGCAAAGCACCATACCTGTGCGATTGTAACAATTTACTGCTGAACATTGTCTTAAAATATGGCAGCGTGACCTGAAACTCTCCTTCCTTTCTGAAATGTCCCTTCCTCTTCACTAATGGGCTCTGAGCATGCTGACAGATGCCGATGTGCTCTTTCTGCAAAACCTATTGAACTAATATCACCGTCCTTTCCACTGGCTTGTGTCTAAGCAGAAATCATAGAACATAATTACAAATGTAACTTGATGAGCATTTGATTCTGCTGGCCTGACTTTGTCCTGTTGGCACTTTTTCATAATTCTGTTGCTGTGCAATTCATTTTAAAAAGTGTATTTGACAAAAAAAAAAAAAAAAAAACAATGTTGGTAATTTTAAGAAAAAAAGGAAGCCAAATATTATAAATAAATAAATAAGTGTAAAAGAGCCAAAGTGTCACTTTGGAAAATAGAATTTTAAATCCTCCCTCCCCCAGATTTAGTTTGCAGCGTGACAGCTGCTCGTTCCCTGGGTCCCCCGTCCACACAGATCCACATATTGCTTGAGCATCATGCGAGGACACAGACAGTTTATTATATTATCAAAACCTTTGAGAATTAAGTTATTCTTGGGTGTGCTGGCAGTTAAAATTTCATTTGCACTGACCTCTTTTCATCTCTCCTTCAATTCCTCAAAGTGGGGTTAGCGGTTAGCTAGGCGAAGTAATGGCAAGGACCTTTCTCGTATTTTCCCGGTGTCCTTGTGATTGCAAATTAATGTTCAGGCACTCCATTCCTGCTTGAATAGCTTTGGTTTCAAATGTACCTTTCTTTTCTTCCTTTTTTTTTTTTTAATAACGACTTGTTACTATGGCTCTGAATTTTTGAATGTAGCTAAATTACATTGACTCTCTGAAAAGACCTAACTGAAAGAAAACACAATAGAATTCCTAAGATAGGGGCTGCCGCACCGCAAGGCAGGCCAGGGTGTAAATTAGGGACACCGCACTGAGGTTTTTGCTTTTGTTCTTTCTAGTCTGCTCAGAGATAAAGTGGCTTGGTGAGCGTTGACGGTTGTGGAGGATGCTGTAACATTCCAGTTCGCAACCCCAAAGGCTCTGATCCTGCAGTGAAGTTCTTTTTTTTTTTTTTTTTTTTTGAGACAGCGCCTCAAGCTGTCCCCCTGGGGAGAGTGCCGTGGCATTACAGCTCACAGCAACCTCCAACTCCTGGGCTTGGGCTCAAGCGAGTCTCCTGCCTCCGCCTCCCAAGTAGCTGGGACCACAGGCGCCCGCCACAACGCCCGGCCATTTTTTTTTGGTTGCAGCCATCATTGTTGTTTGGCGGGTCCGGGCTGGGGATTCGAACCCGCCACCTTAGGTGTACGTGGCTGGCGCCTTAGCCGGTTGAGCTATAGGCACTTGAACTCTTCAAATAGGATATAGGAAATACATTTGGGGGAGTTTTTTAATACATGTTAAGTGATCAGCATTCTCGTTTGTTTGTATTAAAGTTTTTTTTTTTTTAAGTAAACTTGAACCTTAGAGGGAGCAATGTAGATTCCCCTGCTTTGTCTGCCAAAGAAGCGTTTACTTTAACCCGGGGAGATTGGAAAATAAGTCTCTCCTCCCTCTATGAAATGACATGGAAATTGCTCTGGTGTTAGCCAGCCCCCAGGAATGGGAGAAGATAGGAAAAGTGGGGGAAGCGGGGCTGCGACGTTTGAGGCCTGCAGTTCAATTTCAGGCATTATTGATTAGATTAAGATTTATAACTGCCGAGAGAGTGAAGGTTTTCAGAGGGGTGTTATTGTTCTATTGTTTAGCTTCCACTGTGGCATTAAAAAAATGTTCCGTTCATCCCACTCCTAGAAAGCTTCTAAATGTAAACTCCACAAGAGAAATTAAGGTCGGAAACTCCACATTTTTTTCCTGTACATTCACAAACGTTTATGATGCTAAGAATGTGATTGATATATCGGACATTCACGCTCAGTAAACCGGTTTAATTTTATGGTTCTCTTTGTTACAGTGCGTTCTTTCCTTTCTTCTCCTTTTCTCCTTTCTTTTTTCTTTCTTTTTTTTTTTTTCTTTTTTCTTCTTTCTCCCTCTCTCTCAATGATGAATCTTAAGGGCACCTCATAGTCCACTTTAATAAGCATTTACTTTCAGATTTATAGATAAGGTTCCAGCCAGACTTTGATAATACTTGTTTAAGAATCCGTCCTGCAGTGTTTGGGGGTGATTGATAGTGGAGGATTCCTGTTTGTGCTAACGCCATGAGCCAAGTCTGTGTTACTCAGTGCAGGGTCATTCACAGGCTAACCTGGCACAATTCCCCTCCTGAGTGTACTAGACTGTCAGACCCTTCGGAATGGTACCTGCCGAGGCACGCTTCTTTCTCTTAACCCCGGACTGGGTTTTATTCATATATCAGAGTGTCAGAACGACTGGCTTAGTTATTTACATTTGTTTTATGTTCAGCTGTCTGCTTGATTTATACTAATGTGATATGTTCCCTTTCTCTCTTCAGCTTAATAACTGGTTTCTATTTTGTTTTGATTTTCAGTCCCGTCTTTTACCTTCACACCAACAGGTATATATTTGCACTTACCCTCCTCCTTCCCTTTGTCAGTTTGGCATGTGTTGTACTGTTAGGTTTCTGTTTTTATTTCATTTTCTGCAGTAAGTTGGGGGAAGGGACTCAGACAGGGAGATGATACTTCCCTGACTTACGCCGGGCACGCATTGGAGGCAGAAGTGGCTGGTGTTGCTTTTCGCCCGTTTAATGCCGATATGTGCCCATGAGGCCGCATCGCGTCTTAGCCTCGTTTGCACGTGTTTCACGCAGTCGCCCGTTTCTGCCCTCGGCATGACTTAACATGCTAATGACCTGATTAATTAGTTCATACTTGCCAGTGCATTGCTTCCCCTCACTTAAGCTTTCAAGTTTCCCCCCCCAGTTTTTTTCTCCTTTCCAATTCCCTATTTATAGAATCAATGTTGTTAAAGGTAACCCAAATATCCAGCACATGGGAAAGATAAAAGTTTTCATTTTTCCGAAGTCAGAATCCCCATATTCTGTTCCATTCCAAGTGGGTCCTCTTCTGTCAGCTCACCTCTGGTAAAAGACGCACCTGGAGTTATGCCCCCTCAGTCTTAATCCAGTTATTGTAATCACTGGGAACAGTTATCTCTCTCTGACAGACTCCTAGTTTGGAGTTCTTCTAAGTAGCAGAACTTGGCAGCTCTTAAAAACATATTTCTTCTCAGAAAATGTGTCTGTATTTACAGAAAGGCTAATCTTCTTAACCCCTTGCCTAACTATGTGGAAATCTGTTTTTGTTATGGCTATATTGTTATACCCCAAGATTTATTAAGCTAAGAAGGGTTTCGAGTGCATTAAAATGTATTTTTATCATCTGTACATGTCTGATGAAAATATTCTACAATCCACAACAAAAAAAAATAGGTTGCATTCATTAATTGTCACAGTTGGTATACATCTTTGCGTGTGCAAAGAAGGTTTATTTTAACATTTGTCTTTGTCTTACTGGTACTCATATTTCTAGAAGAATATTCTAGGATGGGCTTTTTTTTCTGCTGAATTTAAGATTACACTTAAATGAAATCATGAAATTATATGCTTCATAAATTTAAAATAGAAATCTATGATAACGCCAGTGTACAGATATAGAATAGTTACATTTGATAAAAGTGTACTGAAGTTACGTTTTTGCTTGATTCTCTAGCCTATTGAAACATTAAGAAAATAAGAGTGATGCTTTTAATTCTATCCAAGCTTTTAAAAAATTACTAGTTGTATCAGAAATCTGGTACATCCTGTGGTGATTTTCGCTGTGCTCTTAGGTAGGAAGAGAGAAAGCATTCCATTTAAGAAAGAAGCTCATAGATGTAATAACTTTAAATATATAAACATTCCTATTAATTGTTCTTTTTTTTTCCCTTGTAACGTTCTAGTGACTTATCAGAGAGGAGGAGAAGCTGTGAGCAGTGCAGGGAGGTAATTATCTCACTTGTTTTGCAAATCCTAATTCTAAATGTTTCTTCTTGCCTTCCTTGGTGACATCACTTTCTTCTTTGCGTAAAGGGCTTAACCGAAAGGTGAAATTTGTTAAATCCTTTAGAAACACTCTATTTGGCTGTGCTGTTGAACCAAGCACAGTGGAGCGGTTGCATCTTCACTGGTGGCCACCAGAGGGAGGACTTCAACCGAGAAAGACGGACTTGCTGATTTAGCAAACGATTAAAAGGAGTTAAAGTGATTAAGATGTGGCGTTTATGGAGATTAAGAAATATAGCTAGTTAACAGATACTATCCGAGAAAAAAGTGTTCATTTAAAAACCTGCTGAAGGCAGCAGTTTCTCATAAGTTGTTGTAGTTTCTGTTTGTTTGTTTGTCCTTGTTATGAATTCAATATAGTTCACATCTCCGTTTACAAGGAAATCTGTTGAACTAAAGGAAGACATCTAAGTAGCTTGGTAACAAAGAGGTTTTTTCCCTCCCTCTAATTAAAATGAACCGCCATCCAATAGCTATGATTTTTTTGGTAATTATTATTCCGTGAACTTTAATATATTCACAGAGAAATTACAAATTGATGTGACAGGCAGCTTAAAGGGGCTGAAAGAAGGTATAAGTCATATGAACCCAGCTTCAGGAGTTCCACAGTGTGAGGCTCTCAGTACACACATACCCACACACACCATTCATAAGGCAAACTTCCAACCAAAACCGTTCTATAACTCAAATTCAGTGAGCTGATTAAATTCCCTTCTTTCAACACTTGGATCATGTGGTTGCTTTTGGAAAAACAAAAATGAGTAAGATATTACTTTATTCCTTTATCTAAGGAACATACTATCTAATAAGAAAATTATTGAATTTATAACAAAAAGTGGCTTAAAAAGTGTTGACGACCTTTAACCAATGCTGTACAAATTTGGCAACAAGCAGTGGTCTTTACTTTCCTGGTTACCTCAAAAACAAAGCCAGCCACTGAAAGACCCCACACTAGGGAAGTCTTTATCAGGAAAAAGTCCAGTTGATTCAGGAATTAAGGGGGGGATGGGGGCATGGTTTTGTATCCAGGGGAATTTCATCTGAGTCATAGTCCAAGCAGACATCACAGGAGTGCCTGTGGCATAAGATCATTTTCTTGTGGGTGAACCTGGAATTCCTGATTCTGTACGCGTCTCTTCACATTGCATCCTCCTGACCGTAGACGTCAACGTTCTCATTAGTCAGAACACACACAGGGCCTTCCCGAGCATCTTCTCTACGTTCTGCACTAGCTTCTCTGCCTGGGCACATGTGCGGGTCTTACTCTAAAGGAATCGACCGCTGCATAGACCAAACTATCACATGGGAAGCAATGGCAGGAACAAGGCATAGGTAGTAAATGCCAGTTTCTACAGCAGGACTGAACAATTGCAAAGTTCCTGAATGATCTATTTGGAAAACTCACTATATCACAGTACAGACAGCCATTTAAATTAAAAATAAAATCCCTCGTGGTGAAACTGTTTAGTATTATTTCAAATACTAAACAGAGGTGATCATTTTCTTAAGTGAAATAATAAAAATGCCAGAATGTTGCAGAGGCAACAGAGGAATAAAGATCTTAGAGTCAGTGCTCAACATTATAATTATGTATATGATAATTATGTTATTTAATTTTAAATCTATTTAATATACTGAATACCTACTATGTGGCAGGCATTATTATAATAGCTTAGCCTGCATCAATGAGCAAAGTGCATAATAATTCCTGCCATTGTGGAAGACACAGGTGACTATAAATGTATTTTAAAATGTCAGCTATATAGTATCAGCAGTTGATAACTGCTATGGAAAAACTAAAGCAGGTCAGGAGAATTTGTGATGCCTTCATAGGAGGCCTCATTCTAAGCCGTGTGTGACTGTGTGGGACTATGAGCATATCCGGGTTTTGTGATCTGGTGTGGTGGGAGAATGAAGAGTGAACCAAACCCTTGCACTGACTTCTCTCGTGTCCATCTCGTAAGCAGTAGGTTCCCTCGCACATCACAGGTTGTCTGAGCCCTCACTGGACCTCCCACCTCACTAGATTAATGACCCCTAAGCTAAAACCTTCCAGTCACTGCCATTCACCTCCCACATCATCCATCACCGGATTTATTGATCCTCACTTATCCCTCCTACTGCTTCACCCCCAGCACTTGCTCTCCCTTGAGTAAGCTGCCACAGAAGCTCTCGGCAGCCCTACCTTCATCTGCCTTCATTGCCACGGTTTCTCCCTAGTTCTCTGTGTCCACTAGAGACAGAATGATCTCTTGATCTCTTGAAATGCATGTCTCTGAGCTGCTGAAAATCCCATTTGCAATAGAATCCACCACACTTAGATTCTCGGATCCAAACTTGGCATAGTGTGTGAAGCCCACAATTCTAGGGCTTTGTGGACTCACTTCAAAACTCTAGTGCCAAGCAGAGTGCAGAGGTTCATACTTGTAAGCCCAGTGCTTTGCAGGCTAAGATGGGAGGATTGCTTCAGGCCAGGAGTTCAAGACCAGCCTGGGCAACATAACAAGATCCCTATCTCTACAAAAATAAAAACTTGCCCAAGCGTGATGGTGAGTAATTGTTGTCCTAGCTGCTTGGAAGGCTTAGGCAGGAGGATCACTTGAGCCCAGAAGCTGAAGGCTGCAGTGAGCTGTAATCATGCAACTACTGCAGCCTGGATAACAGAGTCTTTTTAAAGACTCTGTCTTAAAAAAATGAAAAGAAAAGAAAAAGCCTCTACAATCTACCCTGTTGACCCACCTGCCATTCGCCAAAATTGTATTCTTATATGTCCTTGCTACATTGCATATGTTTGCATCAGCCTGGAGGGTCTCCCCACACACCATCCTCTGGTCGGACTACTGGATTTCACCTGCTACATCCTCCATCAACTCTGTACAACAGCATAAACCAGGAAAAAGTACAAAAGGCCTCAAAAGAGGGTGGGGAAGTCAGACTAACATGGTAGAGAATGCGAATACCACATTTCTTGTCAGTGGGAAGAAAGAACAATTCGTAGAACTTCAAGCCTTGTTTCTCTTTAAAATATTGGCGATTCTCAGATCTGTCTCTGGGCTTTAAAATTCATTCAAACATCCAGGGAGACAGAAGACAGGCTTTTTCCAGCTCCTGGCCTCTGCAATGTTTCATTTTGTGATTTTACAGTTCAAATAAGCTTTTTAGGGATGAGTGATTGGAATTTCTGAAAAGAAGAGGAGGAATTGATGGTAATTGGCATATAACTGTGAAAGTGCATTTGCCCTCTTTTCCTTCAAGACACAAATCTATCCCCTTAACATGTTACGTAAATAACATTATATCACAATATCTTAGACACATGTTAATCGTTGTAACCACCGTGTGTTTTGCTTGTGCTTTGTATCTTAAGCTAAAACATATAAAGGCAGCCTGTGAAATTGTTAGTTTAAAAGGGCCCTAACACCCTATCAGAGTAGCTGCAGATGACCTTAACTTCCTCAAAAGCCTCTGAAGATCACACATGGTATTTTAAAGTTCATCATGGGCCGGTAATCATGGCTCACCTTCTCCCTTAAATAGTAGGCATTCCACACTCAAGTCTAAACAGAAACCTAAGTGCTCCTTTTACTTCCTGTTGGAAACCACCCATCTGTATGAAACGTTCTCTCAGCCTATGGTGATATCAAAGCTTTCTCTTAAAAAGTATTTTTCAGAGGGAATCAGAGTAGCATAAAAATATTATCTATTCCTTTTGAAACATGTAAGTCAGACTGTGGAAAATTTCCTCTTGACCCATACTTCAAACATCCTGTAGCATCCTTACAGCCTCAAATATGGATTTTATTTTTAATAACTTCCACAGTGATAACATTTATGGTTTAAGTTCAAGGGAAAATAAATAGGAGCGCTAAGGATTCCTAAATGCAGAATTCTTGTAACTAATATCTATTTCAAAGGCTCCAGATATGTGTGATAACCACTTTCATTTAAATGTTTAAAATTCCAACAATTCAGCAATGTTACTCTTCAAAGCATGTTCTCATCAACAGTTTTAATAGTAACCTGGTACAGTGTTAACAGCTTCAGCCTGAATTTCAAAACTTCAAATATTTTCCCCACTGTTTCTGTTACTGAGAAACTCTGAAGGCTTTCAGGAGGTTTCAGCACTCTGCGGTGTGTGTGTTTATAGTATCTTAGATCAGACTGTGAACTAGCGGGCCAGACTCATGGAGGCTGATTCCTGGATATGCCACTCCTTTTATATAACTGCCCGCGAGTTTCTCAACCTCTCTTAAGTATCCCAATTTCCTTATTGTTAAAATGTGGATAATCAAAGCACCCACCCAGTAAGCCAGGCTCTATGGCTCATGCCTGTAATCCTAGCACTCTGGAAGGCCAAGGCGAGTGGATTGCTGGAGCTCAGGTGTTGAAGACCACCCTGAGCAAGAGTGAGACCCCATCTCTACTAAAAACAGAAAAACTAGCTGAATGTTGTGATGGGGGCCTATAGGCAGAAGGCTGAGGCAAGAGGATCGCTTGAGCTCAAGAGTTTGAGGTTGCTGAGAGCTAAGGTGCCACGGCACTCTACCCAGGTTGACAGTGAGACTCTGTCTCAAAAACAAACAAAAAATACCCACCTGGTAAAATTTTGATGATGATTAAATGAACTCAGAACACTGCCTTGCACATTGCAAGCAAAGAACAAGTATTTTATTTTACATACATATATATATGCAGATTCAAAATCCATATTTTTCATTGAAATGAATTTTTATTCCTCAAATAACCATCATTTCGCATAAGTTTCCCCACGTGACTATCTATGTGGCAAAAGAATTGAAACCATAGAGAATGAAATGTCAGATTCTTGCTACTAAATGGGAAAGCGTAATTATGCACGTCAAAGTAGGGAACGAAACCACAAAGAACACCTTTTTTTTGTTTTGGCTGGGGCCAGGTTTGAACCCGCCACCTCCCGCATATGGGGCCAGCACCCTACTCCTTTGAGCCACAGGCGCCGCCCACAGATAACATCTTTGCGGAGTCTGCAGTACAGTCTGTTTATTGTGGATTGGACAGCACAGCACATGTCATCACTTCTGCTGCTGCATTATCTCATGATCCATTTTAAAAGAACATGAGAATGCCACTCTCGGCCCCCAGCTTGAGTTCCCCGGCACTGGCGGTTCAGGGCTTCCACTCATAATTGCTAATGAACTTTGCATTCCCAGTGCACTATGAAAGAGTATTAACATCTGTGGAGCCCCGAAAAGAAAAAAGAGAGAGAAAGAGAACAAGGACACTGATACTGCTCTCAGTGGGTATCTTTGTTTTACCAGACTTAATTCATTAGCTTTCCTGTTGATGGAGGGAATTATGACATTTTGCATTGTCACCATCAGAAATTGTCGACAAGCTTACTAAACTATGCATTGAAACGTTGATGAGGCTCTGTGCAAAATGTCGCTGAGCCTCCAAATCGCTATTTCTGCAACATGGCTTTGAAAAAATATGCAAATACGTTTCATTTGAAGGAACATCATCTAAGTGAAGGGGCTCATTCCATTTTTTTAATGAAGTTGTAAGAGTTTAATTTTTTAATAGATCAAAAATGAGGAAATGGAAACGGTCTTGAGTGGGGTATATTTAAGCTATTAAAAGACTCAAAAATATACGTGTCCATCTTTTCAGTTTCCGTGTTTGATTTTTGATCATTAAAACTAAAGGCAGGGGCCGGGTTTGGTGGCTCACATCTGTAATCCTAGCACGCTGGGAGGCCGAGGCAGGTGGATTGAGCTCAGGAGTTTGAGACCAGCCTGAGCAAGAGCAAGACCCCATCTCTAAAAATAGCCAAGTGTTGTTGTGGGCAGACTGTAGACCCAGGTACTTGGGAGGCTGAGGCAAGAGGATTGCTTGAGCCCATGCAATTGTTGAGAGCTATGACGCCACAGCATGGCACTCTACCCAGGGTGACAAAGTGAGGCTCTGTCTCAAAAAAAAAAAAAAAAGAAAGAAAGAAAAGAAAAGAAAAAGAAAGAAAAAACTAAAGGCAGAAAGAAGGGCACTGCAAGTGATATAAGATTGTAGGCCTGCCAGTTTGTACCATTCTAGCTATGTAAACTGAGGCACGTCCCAGGACTGTATATCACAGTTGACTTGTCTGTAAAATAAAAAGCAGTAGTAACTTTCAGCATAGTTCAGTGAATCAATTGTGTGAATAATGAGATGAAAATTAGGCTAGAATTCTGAGTAGAAAATATTTTCTTTGCATATAGCATTGGCTTTTATACATTTTGTTCTTTAGGCCAGGACTTCTCAACATCAGTGAGCCCGCCGCACAGCCGTGGTTGGCAGACACATGGCCAAACACCGGCAACAGTCACAACGACTGCTCCATCAACTGCTGCACCGCGGGCAACGGCAACAGCGACAGCAACCTGACCACCTACAGTCGCCCAGGTCAGTGACTCAGACAGCTTGACATGCGTAAGCTCATCCATAATAATTAAGAAGAAAAATAAATTTTTTAAAATGATCTAACCAGCAGAAGATAAGTTTGCCTTTCCTGTTTCTACATGAAAAGAGAAAATTTAATTGAGATTTTTATGAAATATTGGCCATTGTCTAGCAAGCTAGACTGATTCAAATAAAAACTCCATCCTTAAAACTCTACGTCTCACCCTCTATCAAGTAAATTTTACTGGAGAATTGAGATTACAAATTCTAGAATAGATAGCAAATATGTATGGAAAATATATAAGGAAAAATGAAATAATTTGAAAGTGTTTATAAGAATATATGGAATTATAATTTTTTAAATGAAATCTTGAAAATAATTAATTGCTTATGATATTTAATTACCTTTAATGTTTTGGGTATAATACAGATCACAAGGTTGATAAGTCCATCGTTAGAACCAAATTTGTTAATAACAATAACAATAATTGAATCATACAATAACAATAATAAAAAGTTTTAAGTGAGAATTGACTGAAGTATTAAATCTGTTTTTTAGAGTATAGAAATAAATTCTCAGGACACACACACACACATATATATACACATATATCTTTTTCAGGTGTGTATTTTTACATTTTCCATTGTGTATTTTTGGTTCAGAAATATGTGTAAGTAAATAACTTTGCTTAATTTCATGTTACAACATAACAATAAAAAATAGATTTGGAGTATTCAGAATTTAAAGAAATAAAGAGAATAAAAAATCGCAAATGACTTCTTACAAAGCAAAATAACCAAAATATTCACAACATAGGGAATATTAAAAGAATTGTAAAAAAAAAATCTATATAACAGTAGAAGTAAAACAGTCCATGGAATTAAAGAAAGGAGAAAGAGAGAGTAGGATTTAAATGAAGATGTTATTCACTATATAGTAAAAAACTTGGAGCAATCTCGATGTCTACACTGAATTTTCACTGGATTCGGAAATGAAGGCTGAATTCCATAGGCTGTGGATATGATGTGTACATGTGATCAAATCTGTGTCCTCCCGAGGTCCATATTCTAGTTGTCTAGACAGAGAGTAACTATAAATAAAAGAAAGACTGTGCTGAGACCCACAGGAAGAAGAAGATGGTGACACCCATTTAAATTAATATGTGGAGCTACGTGTTCCAATATGGTAGCCACTGGCCACAGATGGCTATTTACATTTAAGTTAATTAAATAACATAAAATTTAAAATGTTCCTCATTTGCATTAACCACATTTCAGTAGCTAATAGCTGACCACATGTAACTAGCAGCTGCCATATTGGACGATGCAAAGTTAGCATGTTAACTTACCATATTTAAAAGATATCCAATTAAGGCCTGGTGCGGTGGCTCACACCTGTATTCTGGGAGGCTGAGGAGGGTGGATTGCTCGAGCTCAGGAGTTCAAGACCAGCCTGAGCAAGATTACACCCATCTCTACTAAAAATAGAAAAATTAGCAAGGCATTGTGGCAGGCACCACTAGCCCCAGCTACTTGGGAGGCTGGGGCAAGAGGATCATTGTAGCCCAATAGTTTGAGGTTGCTGTGAGCTATGATGCCATGGCAGCACTCTAACCAAGGTGAGAGAGTGAGACAATTTCAAAAAAAAAAAAAAAAAGATATCCAATTAAAAACTAACATTTACTGTGTCCTGTCAACGTCAGTGCCACTTTTGAACTACAAAAATAAAATAATGGTATTTTTACCATGGTAACTTAACTGAGTTTTTATTTGAAAATATTTTGATTTTAAAATATTATTTTAATTTTTCTACCATTTTAATATTTTCAGCTGTGGGCATTAAATAGGTCTACATGTATTATTTTATTTCCAAATATTTCAATAAAAGTAAAACTAGAGTAGAGATTAGATGTTAGACATATTAGAAGTTATTTTAGAGTTTAATTTAATGGTCCAGGATACTAAGACCCATTTTGTCATCATTGCTGCCATTCTGTATTTCTTGGGTTATCATTATGAAACCATGGGACATGATCACATAGCATCTTTCCCCAATAATGATAGTTCTACCTGACCAAGATAACAACAAATAAAACTCTTTGCAGTACTATATTTGCTATAATTTCATCATCATTCCCCAGAGTTTTTGAGTAGAAATACTTTATAAAGGACAGAAATCTCAAGTTTTTAATATATGGATAGTTTTTCTTTTTTTTTTTTTTTTCTTTTTCTGAATTCTCAGCTCATATGCTTTGTAGCTTCAGCAGCTCACTTGTACCTTCAATTAATACAACCACCAAAGGCTAGAAATCCAAAATTGACACGTAAAGATATTGACATGTATATTATTTTAGTGGAATTCCTAATAATGGGGTTGTTGAAGGCAGATTGTGTTCAACTGGACAAATTACTTCAGCACTAGCCAACGCTGACAATTATTGTTATTATACAAATTCCGTATACTTTTTCTTATTCTCTCAATTTTTAATTGTTTTCTTTAGAACATACGTGTGGATATTTGACCCTTTTCATTCATCTATTTAAGCTTGTTTGTACTTTGCACAGTTTTCTTGTGACTCACAAAGCTTCTTAGGAAAAAAAAACCGAAAGCGAATAACCATGCAGAATGACTTTCTCCTTTTCCTCTCCGTTGCACGTAGCTGATTGTATAGCAAATTATAACAACCAACTGGATAACAAACAAACAAATCTGATGCTCCCTGAGTCAACTGTTTATGGTGATGTGGACCTTAGTAACAAAATCAATGAGATGAAAACCTTCAATAGCCCAAATCTGAAGGATGGGCGTTTTGTCAATCCATCAGGGCAGCCTACTCCTTACGCCACCACTCAGCTCATCCAGTCGAACCTCAGCAACAACATGAACAATGGCAGTGGGGACTCCAGCGAGAAGCACTGGAAAACACCAGGACAGCAGAAACAAGAAGCGCCACCCATTCAGTACAACATCATGGAGCAAAACAAACTGAACAAAGGTCAGAGCTTTGCTGGGGTTCCTGTCTTTGTCCCATATCCATACCGTTCAGGCTTCAGCCGGTGATGTGGAAACTGGTCTGTGACTAGCACGCAAATCCGTTTGTTTTGTTGCTGAGATTTTCTTTTGGTTTCAAAATTTTCACCATCAAAAGAGTTAATTAGCACAACAATAACCTTGGAAAATTCATTTTATAATAATATATAAGTATTTTCAAATGGCTTTGAGATTAATTTAAATTTAATAGTAGGTGAGGGATTGCTTCGGACAGACAATCTTTTATTCATAAGGCTGATGCACAACCGTCACAATACCTCACCTTTTCAATAAATAGACTATTCCATTCTTTCCACTTGAGGATGGAAGATAATTGCTTCTACATGGCCATGTAAACGAATGGCATTTTTATATCAACCTGAAGAAAAATAATTAAATTATATTTGAACTGGAGAAGTGGTTCAATTGGTTGTATTTCTCCTACCTTAAGGTTAATAAGACTGCTCCAATGTATAATTTTCCAACCTAAGTTTCTTTGGTTGACCTGATTGAAGTCTGTCAGTATAGAACTTAAATTGAGTTTAGTATTATCCCGAAGCAGCAGAAGAATATTCAGTGGCCTGAAGGGAATGTTGCTCTATTGTAATGTGTGTGAGTTGGTAAAGATAGGTATTTGATTTCTATGTAGTCCTTCAGTCTATTGCCTTAATAACATGGTTTGCAAAGTTATACCTCTAGGAAAAAAGGGATTGCTTTAATATGAATAGATGGGGTAATGCTGTGCAAGGGTCCCTGTAAAGAATATTTTCTTTACGTTTGAGTTGGGAACATTTTCGCCAAAAATAAAACTTGTTCTTAGAGATTACAAAAATAGAACTTAACCATTTCATTTAATTAAGATAATGTTGTATGTTTTAATTGGATAATACAGTCTAGCCTTTTCTCAAGTTTCAGAAAGCCCTCGATTGGTATACTATCCCGATTTAATAAATATTTATTAAGACTCCTGCATTATTTCATGACAAAAACTGACAAAGATAAGCAGGACAGTTTCTGCAATCATGGGGTTTGCAGCAGCGACTCAACCCATTGTCACATTACTCCTCCATGGTGTGTGATTTTACTGTGGACTTCAGAAAGGTCTGACAGCCTCCATACAAATATTTCAGAACTTGGATTTATTGTTTATATTGCTTGTACGCAGATTTGGTGTGTCAGACCATAATGAAGAACCTGGAACACAGCTAGATGACAGATTATAACTGACTACGTTCCAATAGCAAGCTTTGCATTTGGATTTTGTCTCTTGCCTAAGTGAGAAGAAGCATTTCTGGGATACATTAAGATATTTTGTTTTGTTATCATGGATATCTTTTTATTAGATAAAAGTCTTGCTGACAAGTTTCAGTTTTATTTTTTATTTTATTATGATTTATTTTTTATGATTTGCAGGCATGTTTTCATTATTTCTTATTTTAAAAATTATTTTGTTACTGCACAATTAGAACATAAACTTTACCTTTTTTTCTTTTAAAAACACATTTATTTGAAGTAAATGAGCTTTTGTTCACAACTCATCTCTGCTGCATTTTCCCTAGAGGCTGCCACGACTATTCCCTTCCACACTGTTCCTATTTAATTCATGATAATTATTTTAGAGGGATGACAATTTTTCCCTCACTTTCTCCCCAAATCCCCACTTCCGTCTCGTACAAACACAGATGACCAAATTCTAATGCAAAGTGACTGTAGAATGATTTTCAAACCTAAAACAGTAGAGACAGCTCACTCTCAAACAGTGTATGTAAGAATAAAATATCTCCAAGAAGACGAGCACTTTTTGGTTTCCAGACAAAACAAAGTTTCCAGATTTGCTCAAGAGAATCACAAGCTCACTGATTGGCCAGAAACCATCTGATCTTTTTGTCCTAAACTGTCACTTCAACTAGGATATCATCACATCGTTAAACTTTATTTAATTATTTTTAAAGACTGGGCCTCACTGTGTCACCAGGCTGAAGTTCAGTGACCCAGTCAAAGATAGCTCACTGGAATGTCAAATTCCTGAGCTCAGGTATTCCTCCTACCTCAGCCTCTCAAACTGTTAGGAGTATAGACACATGACCCTGTGCCTGATGAATTTCTTTTAATTTTATTCTTATAGAGATAGTTTCTTGTTATATTGCCCAAGGCTGGCCTTGAACTCCTGGCTCCAAGCAGTCCTCCTGCCTTGGCCTCCCCAATTGCTGGGATTGAAGGCCTGGCTCCCACACTCAGCTTATAAGCCTTTTTATCTTCTGACAATCTAAATATGAAAATAAATGTAAAAACAAGACAAATAAATCCTTCAGTTTCTTTAATTACTCAGAAATAGAGACAAAGCAAAGAGACACAAACAATTTATGAATCAAAAATAAATAATTTTTTTTATCTGAAATGTCTAGATTATCGAGCAAATGACACAATTCCTCCAACTATCCCATACAACCAGTCTTACGACCAGAATACAGGAGGATCCTACAATAGTTCAGACCGGGGCAGTAGCACATCTGGTAAGTAAAGAGAACCAAAGAAAAAGGCAACCGCTGCCGGTGCATTCCGAGATTATGAATTGAGTGCTAATAGGCTACTGTATGCAGGTAACATGTCTAATCACTTCATAGAATCTGCATCCCAAGCATGAATCTTATCACTGAAATTTGAGAGACTGCCCTCACTAAGCCATTTTATGTTCTGTTCAGTAGCCAAAGTCTAAATTTACTATTTTTCTCCCTATTAATGAGCTTTAATAAGGCCTAAAGCATGAACTAATCTTTAAAGGCAGTTGAAACTTCTTTGTTTCCCCCTTGGTTAAAATCTAACTAAAATTGTCACATATCTAGTTAACTCGCTAAACATACTGCCCTTTGAAACTAAGTTTTGAAAGCACATGACATTTGAGTGCGTTTGAGCAGAATCAAAAGGCTGAGAAGCAGTAACGTGAGGTCCAGGTACGATAGAAACCTGTCTCCGTGTACAGGCTTGTTACCATCCCCCACGTCTTGCTGTAAGCCTCATAAAGCAACTGCCCAACCCTCAGACTAAAGAGCCTCAGAAGCCACATTGAGGCCTCTTCCCTGTGGTCTTCATGCTGTTGCAGCTGTTTGCCAGCTGTTTTCTTTATAGGGGAGCTGCAGATGGGAGCTTGCTGGTACTTAAGTCTTGTTTTTCTAATTAAAGGTGATTCATTATTAGAACTAACATGTGGCAAGTCACACCACAATGGGAACCAAACCAACTGATCTTGTTTCTATCAGGCTTTTCCAGAAGAGGGTAGAAATGGCACCTCCTAGCAAGTGGATTGAAGTTCTTGTTAGGGGCTTTTAATCAAGAGTCTCCACCTCTCCATTATAATGAAGGCGGAATTCACATTTTACGGTTAACTAAGACATGCTGCATTTTCTAGACTGTTGAAATGGTTTCTGTTTGAATTAGAAGAGTTTTAAAATAAGCCTTTACCTTTTAATATCTGCTCTATCATATGTTCGTGGTTTTTGTAACAATGAAAACCTTACGAAATAACTTCTTTTCCTTTTTGAAGTAAGTCAATCCTGAGTTAAAAGAAAAATTTCAAGGATCTACGTTTGCGAAAACCATACAAAATATTTTAACATGTTATCATCTCATATAATTTAATCTTTGAATCTCTAGTCACTTGTGGGAAAGATTACAGCCTAGTGGAAAAAACTATAATTCCAGATTTCTCCACCCTTCAGCTTCCATACCTAGATTTTGTAATTCTGCTTCTGTTTCTCGTTTGGTATTCTGTGAATACATGGAAAAATTGATACGAAGGTGTGAAATCTGGTGGCAATTAGGAAAGAGAACAAGGAAGTGAGAAGACAGGAGAGGTTTGGGTTGTTGGGTCTTTCAGGACTGGTGGAGTTATTATAGTGGATGTAAGTCAAGAAATTGAGAGGAAGATGCTAGTTAATGTCAACTCCACAACACACACACCAACATCCTGATATAGGACAACTGATTGGTGGAAGAAAATAGGGGACACATCAGCAATCAACTGGCAATCCTAGTTTATTGAGAATAGCCTGCTCCTCACCCTGCACTTGGTCCAGTAACAGACCAGCGCAGGAACGTCTGGCTTAGCCAATACTGCCACTTAAAATTTCCACGTGACTTTAAGAAAAGGCTCATTAAATATGTTAAGACCTGTTTCATGCATCGTGTGAGTCAGCACGCACTGCACCGTGTGTCTTGGAGCTGTTTCAGACAAGTTTTAAATAATAAGGTCAACATGATTCACTGATATTAAGGGGTCATAGGAGTAAAAATAATTATAAACTCATTGTCTATGATTCACTTATGAATCTAAAATGTGTCATATTTGGAAGGGGGACTATTTTTATCCCCAAGTATCTTTTGACCTGAAGTTTTTCTAAAATGAATACTATAAAATATTCAGCTACCTATGTTTAAAGAATAGGCCAAATCGAAAATCAAAGCACTGGAGTAGTTGAATAATTGTAGTATTTTAAACTACTAAGAATGTTCAGGAAACATCATTTTACTATCTGCCACAATTTTATACAAATGGTGACTGAAAATACCTTCTATCCCTTCTAAAGAAATCATTTTTCTGCTTCTTTTGTCATTAGTTATATTAGCTATTCCAGCAATTATTTTCATCTGTACCTGCCTTTCTGAAGAGAACTAGTAATTTCATTGTGCCTAAAACGTTTCAGTGGACAAGGACAAATTATACATATTCAGTGATTTAATGCAACGGTGGAACTCTAATAGATCGTATCTGTATCATATTGTATTTTAGGTTCCAGCAATTAAGTAATAGAAAGGCGCTTGAGAAAACACATCTACAGCTCATTTGTTTAAGATGATAATCCATAATGCAACTAATTGTTGTAGGAAGATCACTATTAATGATATGACTTCTAAAATTCATTTACGGTTTTATTGCCTTTTTTGCTACTTATTTCGCATGCAGTTGAGCACAGCAGCACTTTGCTTCTATTGTGCCGAGTTCCGTTTAAAATTAATGAAGAAAACTGTGTTTATTTCTATATACGTGTATTAATTATAAGATCATGCTTACAGAAAATAATTAACTTGGGAATAATGGGAAAAAATTAAAGGCCGGAATAAAAGGGCTTGTATTTTATTTCCTTTCCAGGGAGTCAAGGGCACAAGAAAGGGGCACGAACACCCAAGGTACCAAAACAGGGCGGCATGAACTGGGCCGACCTGCTTCCTCCTCCCCCAGCACATCCGCCTCCCCATAGCAATAGTGAAGAGTACAGCCTTTCTGTAGATGAAAGGTAAGCGGGGACTGCAGAGCAGATGGAAGGGGCGTGTTAGGATTGTTTAAGCCCATCTTAAGTGTAATCATTATTAAGAGACTGATTGCTAAGGTCCACAAACGGCCTCCAAATAAAATAGTGTTGGTTAGCAGAAATTAAAAACCCACCTTATTTATACCAAACGAAAGAATCTGTGTTTTTAATGTTCCTTTGCAACTATGAAATACACACACGTACACATACCTACACAGAGGATGCCAAAATATATATATACGTTTTAAGAAAGGGAAAAAACTGTATCAAAATTGTAATACTTACTACATATTAATAATAAAAGAAGAATACAAGTCATGCTGAATACCTCTTATAAAGAAGTCAAATATAGATTGAGTATTACAAAGGTAATCATGTTGTTTCTTTCTAAAATATATATATGTACACATATATATGTATCTTTGGGAACCTCTGTATATATTTTTCATTATATGTAATGAAAATGTAATAATCTCATATATACCATGTCTATATGTATAAAATAATATATACAGCTTATGTTTTTGTGATTTTTAAATACAGTATTAGCACTTCTGTGGCACAGCTCTAAGTTTTTGAAAAAGATTGTATGGCTGTATACCACAGTTGGGGTATCCTAAACGTGTTTTTAGATATTACCACATTATGCTGTGAAATTTTACTTATAGATATACAAAAATTAAAACTTTATTGAGTTTTTTAATCCCCCTAGAAGAGTTAGACTTACTGAATTTTTTCTTACAAGGATTTAACTAGTGTCAATAATCTATGTGACAGCAGTTAGCAGGTCAGTGTGGTTTTTGTTACTACTCCAGAATCTGTCGAACTGGAGGTTGTACTGCCAAACAAAACAAAACAGCCACTTCGCTACTGGGATCAAAGGGAGAGAACTCTCTTGACCTAGAGAGGCAACAACCACAAAAATCTACCTGAAAATATGATCTTTTCTGTGACTATTATAAAAATTAAATCACCATTCTTTCATTCTCCACGGTTTTACAGTTCCAACATACTCAGAAACAAAGGCTCTGTGCTCCTATTTTCCAATCATCTTATAAAGAACATCTCAAGTCAAATCCTTACATAAAAAATATTTACAGTGGATTTTCATTATCCAGAGTTGTTACGTTCTATAAAACTACTGTGGACATGGAATTAGCAAATATTGAGCCTTTGCTCCCAGGGGAGATACAGAGCGAGGTTCCTTTGAACCACAACATTTTTGTCAACTGACTATTGCATAACCTCGTTTCATGTGGGTTTAGATTGTATTGTTGGTTCATTAACATGAAACTCACAGCCAACAGCTCCCTAAGCCATTTCTGAGCAAAGCTTTCCTAATAGATGTATTTTCTTTGTAAAGTACATCACAGCCTTCCAGCACCTAGGAACACTAAATATCATTTCAGCACTTCTTTGGATCCATTTTAAGCAATATAAAGTAAAAGATAAAAAAAATTAAAAGGCACTATCTAAACCCCAAAAAGGATATTTGTTTACAATGTGAGCGCTGACACCAGAAAGCAAAATGTCGCCTTGTTTTGCCTCAGCTGCAGGTAGCTCAAATTTGGGGCCTCCTTGTGCATGTATGGAATGACTGTGTAAGTGCCACAAATATTGATTTTGAATTTACAGATAAATTTTACCAAGCCAGTGAATTTGAAATACAGAATCTGCAAATAAGAAAACTTGAGTATATTTACAAAAATTCATTTTCTGTGGTATTTTAACATGTATTGCTATCTTAATACACAAAAAAGACTAAAATGAAATAAGTAGATATAGTTAAAGCATAAAAATAAAGAATACAGGAGATGCAACTGTGCCTCCAAAAGAAAAACTGACTCTAATTGAGAAGAATGAAGGTTTCCTGATCTGCTGGTCTTTATTCTTGATCTGGACAAATGAGACGGTTCTCAATTAAAAGGAGGGGTTTTGTGGACATGGGACCACACAGAGATGTGGACCCCCTGGAGAAATAACATAAAACACATGGTGGGGAGTGAGAGGGCGCAGGGAAGGCAAATGGAAGCCAGACCAGGCAGATTCTTGAATGTCTTATTTACACACGTTATGCTCTGTGCAATTAGAGAGCCGTTTCTGACTTTGAAGAGCGAATGAATGGCCTGCGAGTGATGTGTCTAACAGTAAAGAAATTCTGGAAACACTGGAGTGACTGGAGGCTAACAGATCAATTAAAAGATTGTTCCACCCACGGTAGCACACGCCACAGAAAAGAATAAGGGGATACATTCTAGAGAATTTGTATAGACAGAATAGAAGTGGCTTGGGGAAGGGTTTGAAGTCCAAGGTGACCAAGGCTTCTCTAGTTTGCGTGAGTGAGCAGACTGCTGTGCTGTTGGTTAATAAAAGAAGCATGGGAAAGAGTGACAAGAGGGAGACGGTGGGGTTAGGAGAGTGAAGGAAAACAAAAGAGATCAGGTTATTTGCACATGAATTTCACTGAGCACATGGAAAGAAGGCATGAACTGGAGAGATGAGTAATGAAAATGCCATTTATATAAAGTGGTATAAACTGCCCTGCTAACCAAGAAACATACTCTGGGGTAAGAGACAAAGGGAAAATATGCATGTTTCCCACCGTGGCCTTGGTTTCCCCACAGCCTTAGCAGAGGAGTAGAGGGGCACTTCACTGTTTAAAGGTGGTGTATTTTTCACACATAATCCTTAATGCAGTCCAACTTCTTCTTTTAATGCTCAACTAAAGAAATAGTGATTTCTTATAGCATGAGAGAAGAAGTCAGTGGTATTGGACTCAATGAGTTATCTCCAATAATATCTCTCCTATTAAAGGATTATAAGAGTGATTTTTCTTGGAGGTAGAACTTTATCTTAGGATTATTTGTCATACCATCTCTGAGTCTTATTTTAGAGGACATGCAGAATTGGAGGGACAGAATGAACCAAATACATGTGGACTATGCGAAGTTAAACTGGATTTCTTTATTGCACAACTTCTTCAATCCTGTAATAGCTTCATGTACATTGAATTCTCTCAGGAAAAAAAAAAAGATACTATAGTAATTCACCAACCATTGTGACAGTGAGCTGTATTTTTTTAAATAAAATCTCCTTACTATAACCCAGAACATTCAGATTTGAAAAACAATTCATGAGTGGCGCCTGTGGCTCAGTGGGTAGGGGCTGGCCCCATATACCAAGGGTGGCAGGTTCAAACCCGGCCCCCGGCCAAACTGTAATAGAAAAATAGCCAGGCATTGTGGTGGGCGCCTGTAGTCCCAGTTACTCAGGAGGCTCAGGCAAGAGAATCACCTAAGCCCAGGAGTTAGAGGTTGCTGTGAGCTGTGATGCCACAGGATTCTACTGAGGGCAATAGAGAGACACTCTGTCTCTTAAAAAAAAAAAAAAAAAAAAAAAAAGAAAGAAAAACAACCCAAAGCCAGCATTTCACTTCCTATACAAAACTTGAATAATCTGTAGTAAGTCTACATGTCCTTATTATTTCTTTTAGCTATGACCAAGAAATGCCATGTCCAGTACCCCCAGCAAGGATGTATTTGCAACAAGATGAATTAGAAGAGGAGGAAGATGAACGAGGCCCTACTCCCCCCGTGCGGGGGGCAGCTTCTTCTCCAGCTGCTGTGTCCTACAGCCATCAGTCGACGGCCACTCTGACTCCCTCCCCACAGGAAGAGCTCCAGCCCATGTTGCAGGACTGCCCCGAGGAGATGGGCCACTTGCAGCACCAACCTGACAGGAGGTACCTTGTCACTGGCCTTCTTTTCTAACCATCAGATAAGTTCACTCTTCAGTGGAAGTTACTGAATACTGTCCCATGAAGTGATTTTCATGTCACATCAGCCCTTTCTTACATTGTCATCCCACAGTAAGCCTAGGTAATTAACATACTGTGTTATATGCTTGCCTGTTACATTAATAGTTGATCCTGGTGACCTGGCAATCATAAAATAATACACATTAACCCCGGCCCACGCACATACAGTAGTCGCATTCACAGCACATGGAGACCATGTGTGTAGTTTGCTAGTCCCGGAACATGTTATTGATAGTGGGTATTTTTGCACTTTAATTTTCCTTGTGCATGAGTAAGTCTCTTCTTTGGTCAGTAGAAATAGATTTTCTCCTGTCCTTTTAAATTTCAGTGCACGTAATGATGTGTTCCCTCGGGGCTATGATGCCCCCAGAAGAATGAGTTTGTTACAGTCACTTTTGGCTGACTTCAGATACTTTCAGTTTTAATATTAGCTTAGTGCTCTTATGTCAGCTTACTAAATAATTTGTGTGTGTGTGTGTGCGTGTGTGTGCGCGTGCACACGTGCGTAGAGTTTTTGAAACCTCAGTATTGAGCATCCCCACCCAATGCATTTTTGTGGTACACAGTGATTGTCATTTCTACCACATCAAAGCTATTACTGCATCGCGTCCCCTCTCCTTTCACTGCTGACGACTTTGTTTGCACTATCTTATTGCCCTCCACACGTTATATTGTATCTATTATTTCAAAATTCCTAATATCATTTGAAACTGAGCATATGATTTGCCTCAGAAGATTTTCCTTCAATGTTCTGGAATGAATAACAACCTCTTGTCTCTGCTGCTTGAATTTTACTCTGTAGATTAAAACAGAATTTCACTTTGTTTATGAATTTCTTCTGTCGTTAAGAGGTTATTATTAAATTCAAATCATAAACTCGCTAAAAAGAAGGAAGTAATTAAATCTTCTTTTATGTGACAAGAGGGAATCTGGCTTCTATACGCTTAAAAGAAATATTATTAACTCGTCCAACTTCATCAAGATCAAGAGCAAATCCGGCATCTCTTTGTCCTATGAAGGTCACAGATCATCTCTGCTACTCTCCTTGGAAGCATGCCTGTAGTCGCAGCTACTCGGGAGGCTGAGGCAAGAGGATTGCTTGAGCCCAAGAATTTGAGGTTGTTGAGAGCTAAAATGACACCACAGCACTCTACCCAGGGTGACAGAGTGAGACACTATCTCAAAATAGAATAAATAAAATAGGTTCTACACACAACATTTTTGTGGTTTGTTGATGGCGATGCCTGTCATAGTGTTAGAGAACATTTAAAAGGAGCTTATTTAGCTCTGAAATACCTGAGTTTTGTATATTCCCCATTTCCTGTCTGTATTCCCAATGGCATGCAGTATCTTTTCCCCACCTTCTCTCTATTATTATTTGTCTTCCTTGTGTTTTCCTTTGTGCCTTCCTTGTAAACAGCAGTGAGTAATTTTACCTTTATCAATCTTGATTCACAGCCTTTTCCCCTTCATTTAGTTCTTCTTTTCACTGTTAACTCTTGAGTCTACTCCTTTTAAATTGTTTTTTTCCTTTTTGTTTTTTTGATCTCCCTTCGATTCCCACAATGTCCTACCAGTTAATACTGCTTAACTCCTCTACCTTCCTCATTCCTGTGTACATTGAATTCTGGCTTAAATATAATGTTTGGCTTCGATCAGTCTACTGAGGGTGACCTCCTGATGGTCAAATCCAAAGGCTTCTCAGTCTTTCTGTAGTTCAGCTGTCTGCGGTAATGTCAATTTTATAAATTATTGTCAGAATTAATAATATACGCAAAGTGTCCAAAGCAAAGTAAGTATCCAACAAATGCAGTTCCCTGAGTTGATCTGCATCCTCTGCGATCATCCCATCACTTGACTCAACCATCATTCTGATGACTGTCAGCTACATTTAGCCAGCCCAGACTTTTTTCCTGAGCATCACATGATCTTTCCACTTGGATGTCTCCCCATGTCCAATTCCACATGCTTCATCTTTGGGCTTGACTTTTCAAACTTGTTCCTTCTCCTACATTGATGGCTGTCTTGTTGAAAGCTATCAACTATTATTTATTTCACCAATATATTAAAAATGAAGTAGCCAAGGGAATAGGCCAAAGCCTAAAAGCCAGTATCTTTGTCATTTTGAAATCAGCTTAATTATTCTGTTTAATTTCTTGCTACCATTCCACAAATGAAATGATTCAAGCTTCTTCAATTCTAACTCAAAAATAACCTGGATATCATTCCCATATTTTTATTCCCATAGCTGCTAGGAATTACCTTCCATCCCTACCCGTTAAAATACGGCCATCCCATTGAACCAGCCTCATTCATCTCTCTCTTGTTCTCTCCACTCTCACGTTATCTTCCTTTCCACACATGAATCTAGTTATGTTCCCGCCTGAAGCTGTCTTGAGCTCACCGACATCTGGCTCTTCCTGCACATGCTGTTTTTTTTTTTTATCACCTGCAAGCACATCTCATCTTTTCACACAATGCTCGGATGACACTCCCTCTGTGAAGCTTTCCTCTGGTTGCCTAGAAAAAAATCAACTACCCTCCTCTTTACTCTTCCCAGGGCTCTGCTCACATCTCTCTTGCCGTGCTAACCAATTGTCATTTTACATGAGAATTTGCTGTTTGTTTTTCTGTTTTCCTCTATACATTAACAGCTCTTTGAGGCCAGAGCTCATCTCTGACTCATTGCAGAATTCCACAGAACTCTCTTCAATAAGTATTTGATAAATGGAACTTGATACTGTAGAAGAATTTGGAGTTGGCTTACTTTCTACTGTTTTAGACTGATGAATACTTATACGAACCTGAGGTTGGTGTATATAATTGGGAAATACATTAAGTATCTACACTTAGAATCAAAAATAAAGTGTATAATCAAAACCAAAATCAGCCTATTTTAAAATTTCCGACTATCACAATATAATAACAGTGTTTAGTTACATGGATTACTTTTGTACTGCTTGGAATTAAGTTATAAGTGTGCCCATCACCCACACAGTGTACACTGTACCTTCTACGTATTACTTCACTCATCCTCTTCTCTCTGCTCCTACCTGCCAAATTTCTGTTGAGTTTAACTTCCACCTGTGCCGGTGAGTGCTGTCTGATTATTTCCAACTTAATAGTGAGTGTGTCTGGTGTTTGTTTTTTCATTCTTGAGAAACTTCAATAACAAGAATGGTTTCCAGTTCTATCTGAATAGAAAAGGAATTAATGTATTTTATTTTTTTATTTTTTATTTTTGGAGATGGTCTCACTCTATCACCCTGGGTAGAATGCTGTGACATCATAGCTCACAGAAACCTCAAACTCTTGGGTTTAAGCAGTCCTCTTGCCTCAGCCTCCCAAGTGGCTGAGACTACAGGCATGTGGCACACTGGTGGATATCTATAGCATCATTTGATGTATAATGCAAATTTGAGTATTTCTTGCCTGCCCTTAACAAATTATCTTGGTGTTTGCTTTTCTGAAAAGGATTTTAATTCTCTCTCATATAAGAAACTTAATTTTGGAGGATACAAAATCCTAGGTTGGCCATTACTCTGTTTAAGAAGACTTGAGGATAGAGCTATAATTCCTTCTGACTTGTGAATTCTCAGTTGGGAAGTCTGCAGTTGGCCTGATGGGCTTTCCTTTGTAAATGACTTGATGATTTAACATTATAGCATGTAGGAGTTCTTCTTTCATATTAATTTTGGCCAGTTTGATGACTTAAATGTTATAGTGATTGCTTCTGTGTGATGAATCTCTCAAGGGTTCACTGAGCTGCTTATACTTTGGAATTCTAGATTTCTAGCGAGATTAAGGAAGAAGTTATCCTCATTTATTTCCTCAAATGGATTTTGTGTGTGTTTTCTTCTTTACATTCAGGGATACCCATGGTTCTTAAGTTTGACCTCTTTACACGATCCCATATTTCTTGTAGACTTTGTTCATTCCTCATATTTGTAGGTTCTTTATCTTTGATTGACTTGTTTCATTTGAAGGTATTATCTTCAAGCTCTGAGGTTTTTTTTTCTAGCTGATCTAATTTATTCTTAGGATTTTTTCATTGTGTTTTCTATTACCTTGAATTTTTTTATTTCTAGTTCTTTTTGATTTTTTAAAAATTATTTGATTTCCTTAGTAAATTTTTTATTCATTTCCTGTATTATTCATGTGATTCCTGTGTGTGTGTGTGTGTGTGTGTGTGTGTGTGTGTTTTCTATTTTCTCTCATGTTTTGTTGAGCTTCCTTATAATCCAAATTTGGAATTCTTTACCTGTCATTGACATACAGGGTGGACATAAAGTCTATGTGCAAATAGTAAACTAATTAAAGCTGTGCATCTTAATTTCACCTGAGAGATCCACCCTGTAATTCCATTTTACCGATAGAATCCATTGGTAAAGAGTTGTTCTTTCCTTAGGGAGGTTACATTCCATTCTGATTTTTCATAACTCTCAAATTATTTTGCTGATGCCCTCTCATTTGGCCTCTCAGTCCAGTCTGGGGGGGACCAGCCTAGCTTTTGGACCTGTCCCTGGGTCCTGGAAGACCAATCCCTGACCATGCCGAGGAGAAGAATGCTGATCCCAAATTGTCTGTGGAGTGTTCCAGCAGGTTGGATGATCCTCTCAGTTTGCCTCGTCCTGCTATGTTCACCTTTTCCCTGCAGTTTGAATTGTGTTGTGTCCCTGAACTTAATCTCCAATAAGGGGGTGGTACTTGTGAGTCTGAATCAGCCATGCCTTTTCTATTGAGTTGGGTGATGCTATGATACCCTGTGGAATTGTTTTCCTTGTCACTGGTTGATGTTTGTATGAAAGAGCCAGCTGCTAAAATGTACTTTTATGCCTGTGGTAGACTCTGGTCTCTCCAGTGGGGCACTCGGATACCCTAAGCTTTAGGAGAGGCCCTGAAGCTTATTCTCCACAACCACTGAG